ACCTGCATGGAATTCCAGTCTCCTGGCTTCTTGGCTGAGCCAGTAAACGGAAGATCTCTATTTCTTTCTCTTGCTCTGCTTTTCAAGTAAATAAATAATTTAAAAAGAAATTTTTAAATGAGGGGCTCACATTGTGGTGCAGAAGGTTGAGCCCATATTGGAATACAGGTTTGAGTCCTGGCTGCTCCATTTCCAATCCAGCTTCCTGCTAATCTGCTTGGGAAGGTAGTGAAAGATGGCCCAAGTGCCAACCATGTGGGAGATCAGGATAGAGTTCCTGGTTCCTGGCTTTGGCCTGGCCCCGATAAGGCTGTTGTGGCCATTTGGGAAGCTGAACCAGGGGACAGAAGATCTCTGTCTCTCTGCCTCTCAAATAAATAAAAAAATTTTAAGGAATGAAATTGAAATAAAGACATTTTCAGATAAAAGAAAACTAAAAGAATTAGTTGCCCTAGGCATGGGAAATAAGGTGATCCCTCCTTTTCCTGCCCACCATAAAAGATCATAATGGCATCCCATAACAACAACAAAAAAGTTGAGCCGGCGCCGTGGCTCAATAGGCTAATCCTCCACCTTGCGGCGCCGGCACACCGGGTTCTAGTCCCGGTTGGGGCGCCGGATTCTGTCCCGGTTGCCCCTCCTCCAGGCCAGCTCTCTGCTATGGCCAGGGAGTGCAGTGGAGGATGGCCCAGGTGCTTGGGCCCTGCACCCCATGGGAGACCAGGAAAAGCACCTGGCTCCTGGCTCCTGCCAGGATCAGCGCGGTGCGCCGGCTGCAGCGGCGGCCATTGGAGGGTGAACCAACGGCAAAGGAAGACCTTTCTCTCTGTCTCTCTCTCTCTCACTGTCCACTCTGCCTGTCAAAAAAAAAAAAATAAAAATAAAAAAAAAAAAAGTTAACAAGAAGAAAACAAATGTATTTAATGTTGGTTTTATGTGACATGGGGCCTCCAGAATGAAGACCCAGAGACCAAGGGTGACACTCCATTTTTGGGTTTGGGTTCAGTGAAGCAGGGAGGGCCGTGTAGCAATGAGATTGGACAAACAGGGGCTAGGCTAATGGAAGCAGGGCGAGGAAGCCCAGCACTGCCTGTCTGTTCACATTCTTCTTGGCCTCTCTGTTCGAGCTGTTTTCCCTCCTGGGCTTGGGGCATGACTCCTCTGGAATGAAGATCATAATTTCTCTGGTCATCTGTCACCCAGAAAGGTGTGGGAAACTTAGAGGAATCCTTTTAGGCTTTCTGGTTTCTCTGATCTGCTCTGGGAAAGAGGAATTCCAGTCTCTACAGCTTGCCTGGACAAGAACAAAGGGTCAAAGCAAGAGAGCAGGAGAAGGCCACAGAGAAAGTATTTCTGGGACCTACGCTGGGCTGTCGCTTTCTGAGCGTGGACACTGCCAGTAGTCCTGCACTGCAAGGAACATGAAGTTCTTCGTTGGCTCGGCTGGAAAGTCTCAGAGAGCGCCAGTATCTGGGCTTACAGATTAGTTTTAATTTTTCTTTCACGTTAATTTCTTTATAGCTCATATAAATACAGAATATAATTTTCTTCAAGTATGCAGAATATTGGCCAATACACACTGGATGTTGGACTATAAAACAACTCCCAGTAAATGTCAAAGACTAAAGAGTAGGTTGTTTGGCAATAATGGGATTGAGTTAGAAAACAAGAAGAAAATAGCTAGGTGATTTAGTCTTGGCCTAATCAAGAGACAAACCACACATAATTTAAACATGGCAAGATTAATATAAGGAATTATGGGGGCACATTGTGATACAGCAGGTTAAGCCAGCAACTGGAATGCTGGCATCCCATATGGGCACCAGTTTGAGTCCAGGCTGCTCTGCTTCCAATCTAGCTCCCTGCTAATGTGCCTTGTAAGATGGCAGGAGCCCTTGGGTCCCTGCCACCTACATAGGGGACTAGGATGGAGTTCCAGGCTCCTGGCTTTGACCTGTCCCAGCCCCAGCCATTGTGGACATTTGGGGAATAAACCAGCAGATGGAAGATCTCTGTCTCTCCCTCTCTGTCACTCAGCCTTTCAAATAAAATATTTTAAAAATATATAAAGAATGATTAAACTACACCAAGAGAGGAACTTTAAGGACATAAAGAGGAGAGTACCCAAAGAAGGACAAAGGTGGCAGGGTCCCCACCCCTGAGGCCCCAGTGCAACCCACTGAGGGATGGAGAAACTTACTGGTTTTCCCAGGCCAAAGCTGTTTCACAGTTGCTAGGCAGGAAACAGATCTTGAGGCCCCAAGCAAGCTGCAGCTGTGCATCAGACACAAGGACACTAACTACAGGCACAAGGCCCAGGAGGACTCCAGGAAGCCACCTCCAGGGCTGACAGGTGAGCACAGGGGGTTGGGCAATGTGCTGAAGGAGTTGCATACCCCATGTGCTCAAACTGCACCGTGCCCACACGGGGCCTCAGACGTCAAGCCTCTGGCAGCAGAAGAGCTGAGGGTGGTGCTGCTGCATCGTGGGTGCATGGTGTGCGAGCCCGGAGAGCTTTGAGAAAAATCATCCATGGCATAGGTAAACCAAGACACGTCAGAGTTGGGAAGATGCCACAGGTACAAGGCCTGAGCCACATCAAGGCCATGACTGACCAGGGCGGCAGGAGTGACAATGAGATGCCAGCTGTTGGTGCACGCCTGCAGCACAGCACCACCGATGTCCCCGTGCACAACACTGCTGATGGAGGGACCATGGATCCCAGGCAAGGAAAAACAACCCAGAGCACGCTGGGATCTGGAAGACAAGCCCTCTTCTTCCTGCAACGTCCCTCTGGTGCCCCCTACTGACAAAGTTCAGCATTGCGCTCCCTGCGAGGTAATACTCAGCACTAAGGACTAAAGGGTGCATGCCGAACTGGTAACTGGCAGAGTCCTTTCTTTGGGCTCCTCAGCTTCCATGTGCACCCTTTACACATATTGGGTCTCCCCTATTGCGTATATTCCTACAATAACACATCTCCATCCTTAAAAGTGAAGCTCTCACCCCTCCCCAAAATGAGAAGACACTAACAGTCCCAATTGTCACTGTATCCATGGCTCTCTTTCTGCCTCTCCTCTCTGTAATGCTTCCTTTCAAATAAATAAAACAAACCTAAATACAAATACAGGGGAGAGCGTTGTGGTTAACTGCAGCTTGTGACGCCAGCATCCCATATGAGCACCAGTTCAAGTCCCGGCTGCTCCACTTCCAATCCAGCTCTCTGCTGTGGCCTGGGAAAGCAGCAGAAGATGGCCCAAGTGCTTGGGCCCCTGTACCCACGTGGGAGAACACAGATTTCATTTCTATTATTGTACTTTTAAGATTTATTTTATTTATTTGAAAAAGTTTCAGAGAGAGGTAGAGCCAGAGAGAGAGGGGTCTTCCATCCGCTGGTTCACTCTCCAAGTGACTGCAATGCCCAGAGCTGAGCTGATGCAAAGCCAGGAGCCAGGAGCTTCTTCCGGGTCTCCCACGCGGGAGCAGGGGCCCAAGAACTTGGGCCATCTTCTACTGCTTTCCCAGGCCATAGCAGAGAGCTGGATTGGAAGTGGAGCAGCCGGGATGCCGATGCTGCAGGCTGTGGCTTTAACCCGCTGTGCCACAGCACCGTCCCCAGCACTTTCAACAATATGAATAAATAGGTGTATGCCAGGAAAAACCTGGATGTTACTAAATCAGTTCTTTGTTTTTTTCTTTTTTTTCTAAATCAGTTTTTTTATTGTTTGTTTGTTTTAACAGATGTATTTGTTTACTTGAATGAGTTACACAGAGAGAGAAGGAGAGGCAGAGAGAGTCTTCCATCTGCTGGTTCACTCCCCAGCTGGCCACATCAGCCAGAGCTGTGCCAATCCGAGGCCAGGAGCCAGGAGCCTCCTCTGGGTCTCTTGCGTGGGTGCTGGGGCCCAAGCACTTGGGCCATCTTCCACTGCTTTCCCAGAAGAGAGCTGGATCAGAAGTGGAGCCGCTGGGACACAACCAGCGCCCATAAGGGATGCCAGCACGGCAGGCGGTGGCTCTACCTGCTGTGCCACCATGCCAGCCCCTCTAAATCAGTTCTTAAGAATCCTTGAGCCTCTAGCATTCACTCATCTGACTGCTGTGTGCTCTGATTTCTCTGGGCTCTCCTAATCGGAGTGGAGCACAATTTTGCCGTGAAACAGTACAGGTGATAATGCCGTGAAGATACAATGACTGTCCAACACAGTGAAATGGTTTATCCATGAGAGTAGTAATAATGACTTAATGCTCTGGGGAAGACAGAAAAAGAAACAGAGGAAACTTAATTGAAAAATGAAAATGAGGCCAGCACTGCGGCTCACTAAGCTAATCCTCCACCTGCGGCGCCGGCACCCCAGGTTCTAGTCCCAGTTGGGGCGCCGGATTCTGTCCCGGTTGCTCCTCTTCCAGTCCAGCTCTCTGCTGTGGCCAGGGAGTGCAGTGGAGGATGGCCCAGGTGCTTGGGTCTCTGCACTCTATATGGGAGACCAGGAGGAAGCACCTGGCTCCTGGCTTCATATCGGCGCAGTGTGCCGGCCATAGTGGCCATTTAGGGGGTGAACCAACGGAAGGAAAACCTTTCTGTCTCTCTCTCTCACTGTCTAACTCTGCCTGTCAAAAAAAAAAATGAAAAATGAAAATGAAACCTCTTTTACATAAACAACTAATGTGTGTTCTAAATTTTTTTTTTTTTTTTGACAGGCAGAGTGGACAGTGAGAAAGAAAAACAGAAAGAAAATTCTTCCTTTGCCGTTGGTTCATCCTCCAATGGCCGCTGCGGCCGGCGCACCGTGCTGATCCGATGGCAGGAGCCAGGTTCTTCTCCTGGTCTCCCATGGGGTGCAGGGCCCAAGGACTTGGGCCATCCTCACTGCACTCCCGGGCCACAGCAGAGAGCTGGCCTGGAAGAGGGGCAACCGGGACAGAATCCGGCGCCCTGACCGGGACTAGAACACGGTGTGCCGGTGCCGCAAGGTGGAGGATTAGCCTAGTGAGCTGCAGCGCCGGCGTGTGTTCTAAAATTCTAATCCTTCTTGCATTTCTACTCCTACAAATATGTTAAGAATTCAGTTTTTTTTTTTTTTAAGATTCTTCATTTATTTGAAAGGCAGAATTACAGAGAAAGAGGGAGAGACAGAAAAATCTTCCATCCGCCGGTTCATTCTCCAAATGGCTGCAATATCCACAGCTGGGCTAGGCTGAAGCCAGGAGCCAGGAGCTTCACTGGGGTCTCCCATGTGGGTGCAGAGGACCCAAAGCACTGGGCCACCTTCTGTTTTCCTGAGCACATGAGCAAGGAGCTGGGACACAAACCAGCACCCTTATGGATGCCGGTGTCAGACAGTAGCTTTACCACGCCACAAAATCAGCCTCAATATTCATTAAAAAAAAATAAATAAAACTAGGCCGGCGCCGCAGCTCAATAGGCTAATCCTCCGCCTTGCGGCGCCAGCACACCGGGTTCTTGTCCCGGTCGGGGCAACGGATTCTGTCCTGGTTGCCGCTCTTCAGGCCAGCTCTCTGCTCTGGCCCGGGAAGGCAGTGGAGGATGGCCCAAGTGCTTGGGCCCTGCACCCCATGGGAGACCAGGAGAAGCACCTGGCTCTTGCCTTCAGATCAGCGCGGTGTGCCAGCCGCAGCATGCCGGCCGCAGCGTGCCGGCCACGGCGGCCGGTGAACCAACGGCAAAAGGAAGACCTTTCTCTCTGTCTCTCACTGTCCACTCTGCCTGTCAAAACAAACAAACAAACAAACTATATAGGGGCCAGCATTGTGGTGTAGCAGGTAAAGCCATTGCCTGTGACGCTGGCATCCCATATGGGTGCCGGTTCAGGTCCCAGCTGCTCCACTTCCAATTCAGCTCCCTGTTAATGGTCTGGAAAAGCAACAGAGGATGGCACAAGTCCTTGGGCCCCTGAACCCATGTAGGAGACCTGGAAGAAGCTCCTAGCTCCTGGCTTTGGCCTGCTTGCAACAGCCAGTGCTGGGCTAGGCTGAAGCCAGGAGCCAGGAACTCTACCCATGTCTCCCTCACGGATGGCAGGAGCTGAAACACTCAGGCCATCACTGATGCCTCCCAGATACATCAGCAGGAAGCTGGATGAGAAGCGGAGGTGGGACTGAATCCCAAGCACTCCAATGTGGGATGTGGGCATCCCAAGCAGCAACTTAATTAACTGCCCCAACACCGACCCCCAAGTGGCATCTTAACTGCTGCACCAACTGCTTGCACATTCCCCGACTTAACTTTGATGCTCAGTTTTACAAGGTTTGTACAAGGAAGTGAAACTGCAAACACCTGAACCAAATATCAGCAAGTGAAATCCAGTGATATATAAAAGGCAAAACATCTGAGTCAAGGGTCCCCAAAACCACACACAGGCTTGATGATCTGCTAGGAGGACTTGCGGGGCTTGGCATACAGTCGCCCTCACAGCTGTGACAGAATACACAGTCAGAAGAGGGAAAAGGTGTCCAGAGGAAACCAGGAATAAGGGTCTGACAACCTTCTCCCAGTGGCATCACACAGGGTGTGCTTAATTCCACCAGCAACAGTTCTGGGAACAAACATGAAATGTCTCCAGGGAAGCTCAGTGGAGACTCAATCCAAGGTTTTTTGTTTGGAAGTGATCACATAGGCACCCTCTGCCTAGAATGTGTCCCAAAATTCCAGACTCCCAGAAGGAAAATGGGTGTTCAGCAGAAGCCACACTGTTTGTACAGTTTAGGCACTGTGAGCCACTTTTTTTTTTTTTAAGATTTATTTGTTTGAAAGGCAGAATTACATAGAGATGGGAGTGGAGAGAGAGAGAGAGAGAGATCTTCTGGGGTTGGTGCTGTGGCGTAGCGGGTAAAGCCACCACCTGCAGTGCCAGCATCCATTGTGAGTGCTAGTTCAAGTCCTGGCTGCTCCACTTCTGATCCAGCTCTCTGCTATAGCCTGAAAAAGCAATGGAGGATGGCCCAAGTCCTTGGGCCCCTGCACCTACATTGGGGACCCAGAAGAAGCTCCAGGCTCCTGGCTTTGGATCGGCGCAGTTCCGGCTGCTGCAGGCATCTGGGGAATGAAGCAGCAGATGAAGACCTCTCTCTCTCTCTCTCTCTCTCTCTGCCTTTCCTCTCTCTGTAACTCTGACTTTCAAATAAATAATAAATAAATCTAAAGAAAAAAAACAAAAAAGAAAGAGATCTTCCATCTGCTGACTCACTCCCCAAATGGCCACAATGCCTGGGACAGGGTCAGTTGAAGCTAAGAGCCTGGAACTCCATCTGGGTCTCCCATGTGAGTGCAGGGGCCCAAGCACTTGGGCCACCATCTGCTGCTCTCCCCAGATGCATTATCAGGGAGCTGGATGGGAGGTGCAGCAGCTGAGACTTGAACTGGTGCTCATACGGTATGCAGTGCTGCAGGCAGTGGCCTAACTCACTGTGCCACAACACTGGTCCCCAAGGAGCCCTTCCAAAATCCCAGTTCCCAAGCATCAGCCAAGTGTCAACCTTGCAAACTGGCCTTTCTAAGGATAGAGTCTCAGGCTGCTAGATTAGCTTCTTATGCACAGTATCATAACCAAGTGGATTTTTTCCCCTAGGAAGCAAAGATTGGTTATACCTTTGAAAAAAAATCAATGTAATTTATCACCTTAGCAGAATAAAGGGGAAAATCATATGGCTGTGTGGGGAGCAAACCGGACTAGACTGAGTTACTGGAATTAAGACTTATTCTATGCATCTGCTCTCCCACAATATGGTGCTGGGAGAGAAGTAAACAGCTTCCGCACAGCTGCCGCCAGTTCAACCAATAAACTGTAGGACTTGCTCCTGATTGGAGAGCAGCGTACTCGGCGTGTGGGCAGCCGAGTTAGGATTGGCGGAGGAGGACTATAAAGGAGGAGAGAGACGGCATGCATCAGGAACATCTATGGGGAACATCTAAGGGAACCCGTGCAGCCCCCGAGAAAGCCGGCCGGCGGTGTGCCGCTCCCCTGCGGAAGTGGGGAATGCGGCCAGGGGGAACTGCCCTTCCACGGAGGTGGAAGGGATAGTAGCCAACCCGGGAAGAACCAGCAGCAGACCCGGGGAGGGCCGAGCAGACGAAAGAACAGCGCAGGGTCCTGTGTCGTTCCTCCACGAAGAGGGGGAGCGACATAATGGTGCCGTGACTGGGATATGAAGCCTAGGCAGGGTTTAGTGTCGTTCCTCCACGAAGAGGGGGAGTGACAGGCTGTCTCAATAGATATAGAGAAAACACTTAACAAATCATAAGCCTTTTAGTAAGCTAGAAAAATAAGAGACTTCCATAAAGTGATAAAAAGTACTTACAAACATATCTATAATTGGAGTGGGTGTTTGCTGGGGCAGTGAGACACTGCCTGGGACGCCTGCATCCCATTTCAGAGTGCCTGAGTTGGAGAAACAGCATACCCTGGGAGGCAGCAGGTGACGGCTCAAAGTACTTGGGTTCCTGACACCCATGTAGGAGAACCAGAAGGAGTTCTGGGCTCCTGGCTTCAACCTGTCCCAGCCCTGACTTCTGTGAGCATTTGGGGAGTGACTCAGCAGCCACAAGATTTCTCTGTCTCTCAAATACTGTTTTTAAAAAGTTCCTGGGAAGGCCAAGCACCAGCATAAGCCCTGGGTGTCCCTGCATGGTCTTGCTGACTGTAGCACACTCTGACTGTCCCAGTACTGAGGACACAGGCATTTATGTGGGCCAAGGCAACCACACTGTGACTACAGCACAGTATCTCCCTCCCCAGAAGAGCGGGCCTGGCCTTCCTTACTGCTTGCTAAAAAAGGTGCTGAGTCCTTGGGCCTGTGTTCCTCAGCTGTGCATTAATTCACTGCGTGCGCCACCATCTGCATTCACAGGACTTGGGCTGCCATGCTGATGGCACTCAGAGGGACGAGGCTGCCATGATGCTGCTCCAGCTGTTGGCTGTGCTGTTATTAGGTCAGCTTTCTTGTGGCACCTGTGGAGCTATGGGTCAGTCAAGTTTTTCTTAAAGGGTATTTCAGGCTCTGAGCCACACAGTCTCTGTTGCAGCAAGTCAACCACCATTATAGCATGAAAGCACCAATAGACACTGTGGGGGCTGGCGTTGTGGCATAGCAGGTAAAGCTGCCACCTGTGACACTGGCATCCTATATGGCACCGGTTCGAGTCCTGGCTGCTCCACTTTGGATCCAGCTCCCTGCTATTAATGGTCTGGGAAAAGCAGCAGAGGATGGCCCAAATGTTTGGGCCCCTGCCACCCATGCAGGAGACCTAGACGAAGCTCCTGGCTTCTACCTGGTCCAGCCTTTGCCATCTGGGGAGTAAACCAACTGATGGAAGATCTCTCTCTCTCTCTCTCTCTCCCTTTCTGTAACGCTTTCAAATAAATAAATCTTTTTTTTAAAGCACATAATATGTAATTGAGTGGATATAGCAATGTTTTCCAAAAACATTTATTAGCAAAATCAGGCAGCTGGCCCACTTTCCTGCCTTCTGAGGCTTAGAGCAGGGACATGTCTGATGTCTCCGGTCTACCAGCAGTGGGCATGGGGGTGCGGGGTCTGGAGCCTTCCTCACTGTCTCCACCCTGCTCTCTGCTGGGCTGGGGGACTCTAAAGAAGTGAATTTCAGGATCCTCCTGCCCTCCAGTTTGCAGTAGAGTTCTGCACTCTCCTGTCCGAGCCACTCACTCTTACTGCTTCAAACAGTAATCAGCCCACAAATCGGGGGACACCCTGTCCTCTCAAGTCCCGCTGTGTGTCGCTGTTGTTTTAGAAGATTTATTTATTTGAAAGGCAGAGTTACAGAGAGGCAGAAAGGGGGAGGGGGAGGGAGAGGAAGGTCTTCCATCCCGCTGGTTCACTCCTCAAATGACCAGAAAGGCCTGGGCTGGCTGATCCGCAGAGCCAGGAGCTTCTTCCGGGTCTCCCACGTGGGTGCAGGGGCCCAAGGACTTAGGCCATCTTCTACTGCTTTCCCAGGCCATAGCAGAGAGCTGGATCAGATGAGGGACAGCCGGGACCCGAACTGGTGCCAAATGGAATGCCGGCACCGCAGGCGGCGGCTTTACCCGCCCCGCCACAGCCCCGGCCTCAGTCCCACTGCGTTTTACAGGTCACGTTTCAACTTCGCACATTATTTGTGATCCTGGAAAGAAGGCTGCATTTCCGGCTCCTAATGATGTCTCTATCTGGTACCCAAACTGCCCACAGAAAAGACCGGTGCCTGTCGCACACACGTTCGCTCACTTTCAGACGGTTCTAAGAAAGGAGACTCACGGCATAAGCGCCCCAACACACGGCTACCACTGACCGCCTCGGCCGGACGCCCTCTAAACCCCGGCCCTCGGGTCAGGCGGACAACTGCTGCCCGGCACGTGGGCGTGGACCTCACCACTGCCCTCGACTTTCCTCCTCCCCGCGCGTGCGCCGCAGCACCGCGACCGGCCGGCTCCGGGTAACCATAGAGTGTTGCGGGCCGGCAGAGGGGCCAGATGCCCAGGCCGTTCTATCCGCCACTTCCGGCAGCGCCTCGCTGCTCCGGGAGCGGCTCCTGCGGCGTATGCAGTCTCCATGGGGACTGAAGATGGCGCCGCGAGGTGAGGTTCTGGAGGTGTGTGAGTCGCCGGTGCTTCTCGTTTGCATCTCCGCCTCCCCGCTTCTCTCCCAGAGCTCGACCTAAACGCTCCGTTCTCAAGTGTTAGGACCATCGATCCTCACTTGTTCAAAGAGGGGTTTTGTTGCCCCGCTTTATCCCCCGCGCCTGGAGGTCTCCGAGTGTGGGGTCTCGAATACTGGATCGCTGGGAACCACTAACCCTCGGCTGGGCGTTCTAGGCCGGCGCATTGGCGCATCCTCCGGCCTCGAACAGGTCAGGGTTGGCCTCTGCGCCTCAGGGTCCCCTCCCGCGTAGTGACAGGCTTCGGTCGAAGTGCGTTCCCGGGTGCGGTGTCTTGTGAATTTGCTCTTGGCTTTGCCCCCACCGAGCCGAGTCAGGTTTGACGGTGATTGATGGAGAAGGGGCGTGAAGGCAGGTGCCTCCGCACGCTGTCCCTCCCCCCTGCCGCCTCACTGTCAGAAGTGCCCCCCAAGTGGCCCGTCCTCCGTCCCCGTGTTTCCTCTGGTAAACCCACTAGCAGACCTTGGCTGCCCTCCCACCCAGCCCACTTCTCTATGCCCGTCTTTTTCAGGTAAACGGTTGTCCTCCACCCCACTGGAGATCCTGTTCTTTCTGAACGGCTGGTATTATGCCACCTATTTCCTGTTGGAACTCTTCATATTCCTCTATAAAGGTAAGGCTTGGTGCTTGACCACCCTGCCCAGAGCCAGCTCCCACCTACGCCCTTCTTTTTCATTTTTCCTGCCTCCCAGGCAGAAGTCTCTTCATCAGATGGCTCCTTTGAGAATGCCTGAGACAGAAGCCCTTCAGCAAGAATATGAGAAATGTGGGCCTGTCCATTGTGACTCTCCTCCCATCACTTCTCTCTGCTGAACTTGGCTTTCAGCCCACTGGTCACCCTCAGAAGCCGTCCAGTGGCCTGCACACTTCCAGTCATTTTGGAGAGTGGAATCCCCAAGGACTTTGGGAGTTAGGAATTTAAAACTCCTGGAGACATGGGCACACTTTTCCCGCAGCTGTAACGACGCCCAGCCCTCACTAACTGGTTCTCGGAAAGCTAAGACTGTGTCCTCCTTGTCGCCCGGTGAGAGGCGGTCCTGTGGACGCTGTTCCCTGTGGCTTGCCAACCCTGACTTTTGTGTTGACAGGCCTCCTGCTGCCCTATCCAACAGCCAATCTGGTGCTGGACGTGGTGATGCTCCTCCTTTATCTTGGAATTGAAGTGATTCGCCTTTTTTTTGGTGAGTGTTGTCCAGAGAATGTTTCCATTCCTCGTGGGACGAGCTGGAGTCTGTAACTTGCTTGGCAGGAGAAGGTGACCTTGGCTCACTGCCAGCGACTGGGTCTGGTGGTGGATCCCGTTACTTTCCTCTCTGAAGTGTCAGGCTGCTGCGTCACGATTTAGGTCAGGATTTGCCTGAGTTGTACTCTGTAGGGCTGGAGGTAGGCAGTAGCGTGGGCTACTAGGTAGTTCTTGCCTAATTGCTTATTTCTATTAGAGTGCCTGGTTCCTGTCACTGGTTTGTTTTAGAGAACAGATCCAGTTGTGACTCCATGTCCAGGGTGGTATACACAGATCATGCTAAGATACCCTCTACTTCTTGGAATGAGGATCTCTTTAGGACAAGTCTTTTGTTTCTGTTTTTATTTTTAAGATTTACTTATTTCTGAAGTCAGAATTACAGAGAGAGGGAGAGACAGAAACAGAGATCTTCTATCATCTGGCTCACTCCCCAGATGGCCACAATGGCCAGGGCTTGTCCAGGCACAAGCCAGGAGCCAGGAACTTGATCTGGGTCTCCCATTGGGTGACAGGGGCCCAAACATCTGGGCCATCGTCTGCTTTTTCCAGGCCTTTATAGGGAGCTGGATCAGAAGTAAAGCAGCTGGACACAAATAGGTGCCCATATTGGAGGCAGGTGGAAGCCTAACCCTCTATGCCACAACGCTGTCTCCTAGGACAAGTTTTATATTACAGAACCACAGAGCAAAACCCTTGTTAGAGTATCTTATCCCTGAAAGCCATGTTGAAGGACGAACTGAGGACAGAAACACTTGAAGTACAAGGAAGAAGGGATAAGGAAGCTCACGTAAATTACTGAGGAAAGAAAAAGTAATTTTATTGGTAAGGGACATTAGTAGGTAATTCACTTTAGAATAATTATGGGACTTATAAGCTTGACAAGGTGCCAAGTCTCACTAAGAAAAAGCAAATTAGGGGCCAGTGCTGTGGCATAGTAGATAAAGCCACCACCTGCAGTGCCGGCATCCCATATGGGCGGTGGTTCGAGTGCCGGCTGCTCCTCTTCCGATCCAGCTCTCTGCTATGGCCTGGGGAAGCAGTAGAAGATGGCCTAAGCCCTTGGGCTCCTGCACTTGCATGGGAGACCCAGAAGAAGCTCCTGGCTTCGGATTGGCCCAGCTCCAGCCGTTGTGGCCATTTGGGGAGTGAACCAGTGGATGGAAGACCTCTCTCTAACTCTGCCTTTCAAATAATAAGTAAATCTTTAAAAAAAAAAAAAAGGCAGCTGGACCAGAAGCAACAGCTCGGACTCGAACCCAGGCTCTCTAGTACAGAGTGCAGTCATGCAAAGCAGCACCTAATAATTGTGCCAGACACCTGCCCTGGGATGGCTAGCTAAAAAAAAAAAACTTTTTAAAATTTGTCTGAAAGAGAGGAAAGACAAACATACACAGAGATACTCCATCTGCTGTTTCACTCCCCAGATGGCCGCAATTCCAGGGATGTGTCAGGCCGAAGCCGAGAGTCTGGAGCTCCGTCCTGGTTCCCACATGGATGCAGGGGCCCTAGCACTTGGGCTGTCTGCCGCTGCTTTCCTAGGTACATTAGCAGGGACTGGATTGGAAGTGGAGCAGCCAGGTCTCAAACTGGCATTTTGGCCAGTGGCTTAATCTGCTATGCCACAACGCTGGCCCCCTTAAAATATTTTTGTGGAACTATAAATTAGTAATACCTGTTTGGTAACAGTTATTACTGTGAAAAATTCATATCCCTTTGAAATTTTGTATTTTAATTTTATATGAAAGGCAGACACAGAGAGAAAAAACTTCTTTTTTAAAAGATTTACTTTTCTATTTGAGAGGCAGAGACAGAGAGATCTTCCATCCCCTGGTTCACTCCCCAGATGGCCTCAACGGCCGGAGCTGGGCTGATCCAAAGCCAGGAGCCAGGAGCGTCCTCCAGGTCTCCCATGCAGGTGCAGGGGCCCAGTGATTAGGGCCATCTTCTACTGCTTTCCCAGGCCATAGCAGAGAGCTGGATGGGAAGTGGAGCAGCTAGAACTCGAACCGGCGCCCATATGGGATGCCAGCACTGCTGGCAGTGGCTTTACCCACTACACCACAGCACCTGCCCCAGGAGAGAGAGAGATCTTTTATCTGCTGATTCATCCCTCTCCCCCTCCCCGCAAATGCCTGCAACAGCCAGGACTAGGCCAGCCCCAAAGCCAGGAACCAGGAACTCCATCTGGATCTCCCCTGTGTGTGGCAAGGACCCAAGTACTTGAACCATCTGCTGCCTCCCATGGTACACATTAGCAGCAAGCTGACTCGGAAGCAGAGGAGCTGGGACTTCAACCAGGCACTCAGATAGGGGATGCCAAGAGGCAACTTAACTGCTGTGTCAGATGCCTTCCCCTTAAGGTTCATATTCTTAGACCTAATGGTTTCATATTGAAAACTGGATTAAAACAGCAACACTTCACAAGTATGTGAAGATTGCTATATGAGAATATTTATCGTCACCAGTTTTTTAACATCAAAGCATTAGAAACAAGCTATCAATACAAGAGTAGTTCAACCATGGAATTGGTTTGGTAGAATCATACATAACCATTGAAAATTAAGGTAGTTGTATCTATGAGAAAAAAATAAGTTGCAAGATAGTATGTATACGTATGTAAAAACTTCTAGTAGAGGGGCTGGTGCTGTGGTATAGTGGGTAAAGCTTCCGCCTGTGGTGCCAGCATCCCATATAGATGCAGGTTTGAGTGCTGGCTGCTCCACTTCTGATCCAGCTCCCTGCTGCTATCCCTGGGAAAGCAGTGGAGGATGGCCCAAGTCCTTGGGCCCCTGCACCCCTTGGAGACCTGGAAGAAGCGCCTGGCTCCTGGCTTTGGGTGGGCCTAGCCCCAGCCGTTGAGGCCATTTGGAGAGTGAACCAGTGGATGGATGATCTCTCTTTCTCTCCCTCAACCCTCTTTCTGTGACTCTGCTTTTCAAATAAATAAATAATTTTTTTCTTAAAAAACTAATAGAACTATATACATCATTTTATCATTTTATAATGGGGACATGCAGCGGTCTTTGGATGTTTTCTAAAGTTTTCTCTGTTGAAAAAGTTTTCAGTGATTATATGCATGAGTATATTATGATTATATTTTCAATGATTTATATATTATTTTTGTTGTTAAAAAATTGTTTTTCCCAAGTGAAGATCCCGTTGTCCTTGAGTAGGAGTTAGATTGGAAGCGGGACCTCTGGAGTAAAAGACCCCAATCCCACAACCCAGCCAGATCCTCCGGTGTTCGGTACAGATCCTTCCTCAAGTTCGTCTCTGCCTCCCACCTTTCCTCCCAGGTCAGGGAAAGCAGGCCATGGGAGGTGACTCCATGGGCTGTGTCTGACAGGTACCAAGGGAAACCTCTGCCAGCGAAAGATGCCCCTCGGCATTAGTGTGGCCTTGAGCTTCCCATCTGCCATGATGGCCTCCTACTACCTGCTGCTGCAGACCTACGTGCTCCGCCTGGAAGCCGTCATGAACGGCATCTTGCTCTTCTTCTGTGGCTCAGAGCTGCTGCTCGAGGTGCTCACCCTGGCTGCTTTGTCCAGGTACTGCTGCCAAGGGACCATTTCCCGTCGCTAGGGGGCTGGGTTCCTGTCCCAGGGAGGGATTCATTGTTCTGAAGCTTGAAGGAGCTAGAGGACTTTTAAGGGGGCATGGGGGTCTACGGGACTGCCTTTCCTTAGGGCAGGTAGGAAAAGTTACCCACTCAGGGAAGATTCTCGTTCCTTGGAATATCGAACAGTTTAGGCAAGCTGCTTTTGTTCACTGGTCTTTTAACATTTTCTTTCTTTCTTTCTGCCATCAGTATGGACAGGATTTGAAGTACACAAATTTCAGCCAGCAGCCCATCAGGCTGAAACCACAGCCTCTGGTGCTTTAGCCACACCATGAGAAGTGGTGGGTCCGAGTGTCCTGGGAGGACTGTGCGGCTTTCCTCAGCACAGATTATTTGGGCAGCATCTTCTAAGCCAGGACCATCGCCCCCGAGACTTCTACACTGCAGTTTAGGGGGCTGCCAGGCTGTCCCCATCCTGGCCCTTCTCAGAGCAACTCCCTGCTGACCTCAACCTCTCTTTGGTCATCATGGCCAGCGCATCTTGTGTGGATCACTGGAGGCTCCTTGAGCTTGCAGCAGACCTGAGCCGCATGCTCACTGGATGTGCTGTGCCACACCCACCCCTGCTGGGCCCGGAATGATGCAGAGCCCTGTTCCGCCATGAGACTGAACTCCCCAGTTTTTCTAGTAGTTCATAGTTATTTTTCTACGCTCATCATGAAACACTATTTTATAATAAATATGTATTTTCCTTGGTGGGGTTGAGCCTTTTTGTTCTGGCACCTGTCCCTGCGTTTCATCCACTCCAAGAGTGTTCTCAGGCTGTGTTCAGCGATAGCATGCCACCAAGGCAGTGATCAGGGCCTCATGGGAGTTTAGGGATCCCCAGACACTGTCATCTGGAAGAGTGCTCAGTGCTACAGCCCTGCCCCAAGGCAGCCTCTCGTCTCTCCTTTCTTGAGATGATTTTTGACAGCTCCTTTCTAGAGTGGGCCATGTGTAACTGGAAGAAGCATATTGGAAACTTACCAACATTTTAAAATTTATTTCAAAATTTTGAGTTAACACAAGAGGGTCTATCAAAAAGTTTGTGGGAAAATAGAAGATAAAATTTATTTTGGTGCAAACAATTTTTAAATCCATGCATAGTTTCTTAAAAGTTTTCCAGCAGCTTTTTAATACTGTGAGAGCACATCCCCCCTTTTAAATATTTATTTATTTGAAAGAGTTACAGAGAGGTAGAGACAGAGAGAGATCTTCCATCTGATGGTTCACTCTCCAAACGGCCTCAATGGCCAGAGCTGAACTGAGCTGATCCGAAGCCAGGAGACAGGAGTTTCTTCCAGGTCTCCCACATGGGTGCAAGGACCCAAGGACTTGAGCCATCCTCTGCTGCTTTCCATGCACGTTAGCAGGGAGCTGGATTGGAAGTGGAGCAGCTGGGATTCTAGCCAGTACTCATATGAGATGCTGGTGTTGCAGGCTGGGGCTTTAACCTGCTGTGTCATAGTGCTGGCCCTGCACATACTTTATTCAAGCTAGACATGTTGCCCTCGGTGTTTGTCAGGTACTCATCTCTAAAACCGCTCCTCATTGTGCTTGACAGTGGCTGTGTTTAGTCCCAGCAAGTCACGGTGAGTCATGATGCTGTCCATTCTGGGAAAGTGTGAGACCCCTGTCCAGGGTCAGGTACTGCTAGGGTGTCTGCTCTCACTGGAAGTAGAGTAACTGACCTTTAAGCACTCTGCTGGCTTTTGTTTGTGTTCTGTGATCAGGCTCGATCCCATCCTAGGATCCACTGTACTGATCCTTTTTCTTATTTGCTACCTTGTTTAGCACCCTTACCTCCTAGAGTGTAGTGCTTGGACAGAACTGTGAAAAAAAATTTTTTTTTTTTTGACAGCGTTTGAGAGAGAGAGAGAGAGAGGGAGACAAAGAGAAAGGTCTTCCTTCTGTTGGTTCACCCCCAAAATGGTTGCCACGGCCGGCGCACTGTGCCAATTCAAAGCCAGGAGCCAGGTGCTTCCTCCTGGTCTCCCATGCGGGTGCAGGGCCCAAGCACTTGGGCCATTTTCCACTGCACTCCTGGCCACAGCAGAGAGCTGGACTGGAAGAGGAGCAACCGGGACAGAATCCAGCGTCCCAACCGGGACTAGAACCTGGAGTACCGGCGCTGCAGGCGGAGGATTAGCCTAGTGAGCCACGGCGCTGGCCATGAACTATGAAATCTTAACAAAAAATCCGACAGGAGTTGTCCCTCATGTTTCAGTTACAAATCCAACTAATACCAGTTTTCTGCTTCTGCTGCTGCTTTTTCTAGCTCTGACGAAGCCGCTGGCATCACACTGGAGGGGAAGCCATTCTCTGTGGCCTCCCCACTCCATGTATGAAGGTCCAGTGGTTAGGTTCACGTTCCCAGCAGCACAGATCACGGACAGACGTGTCAGCGCGAAGTTGAGAGGTGACACAAAATCTAACCGCTGGAGATCAGAGGGACCTTAGAAACCCACCCAGACCGCCACACTGCAGTCTTAAAGGTGTGGAAGAACAGCATCACTTAACTGTTTTCTTGCAAGTCTGGGGATCAAGTAATTTCGTTTAACAGGTTCCACTCGAGAATCGTGGTTGAAGTAGACATGACTAGTCTTCTCACTTCCATAAATTTATGGCTCTATAAATGCTCATTTTTCCTGATGGTTGTTGGAGCCACCTGTGTAGATGCAGCTAGTCACCGAACAACGTCATACAGCAGAAACTGAGGCAGCAAGGACAGCAGTGTGGCCGTGTTCCTGTGTAAGGAAGTCACCTTACACAGCCCAAACCAGCTCAGTGGAGAAGGCAGAAGCAGGCCCACAGTGATCCTCACACGGCTGGAACTGGGAGTGGCCATGCCTGTGGGCTGAGGTCTGGCCCAGGTCAGGAAGCATTTAATGGACAGATTCTGGTTTCACCTCTAATGATATCTTTCCTTCCCTCAGGTTTCGTAGTCCTGCCAGGGAACTCCCCTTCTAACGTTACTTGTCTTTACATTTATCTTTTCTGGAACCAGCACATTTTCTTGTCATCTCATCTGCAGTTCTTTTTTATCATCTAACTCCCCTTGTTCACCTGGCTCTTCAAAAAACCAGGAGCTTTTCTGTAATCCCAAGATTACCTCATAGCACTTTGTAGTTTTTTTTTTTTTAACTTACTTTTTATTTATTTGAAAGAGTTATAAGGAAAGAGGGAGAAGGAAGAGAGGTATCTTTCATCCACTGGTTCACACTCCAAGTGGCCACAATGGCAGGGGCTGGGCCAAGCCAAAGCCAGGAGTTTCTTCCAGGCCTCCCACATGGGTGGCAGGGTCCCAAGCATTTGGGCCATCTCCCACTGCTTTCCCAGACACATCAGCAGGGAGCTGGATAGGAAGTGGAGCAGCCAGGACTTGAACCAGTGCTCACATGGGATGCCAGCATTGCAGGCAGTGGCTTAATCTGCTATGCCATAACACTAGTCCCCTTTGAAGCTTTCTGGTCTATATTTGCTCATCTTTAGATGGCAATTCAGTTGAAAAACACTCATGTTCATTACCCAATTCTTAAAACATTTGACTAGAAGGCAGAACAGTTTGTATTTCCACCTTCTCCAAGTGATATTGCTTGTTCAGTTAGGTAGAGATGGCAGAACTAGGCCTTTCATGAACTTCACAGCACTGGAACCAAACTGTACAAGGTAGGAAATTTGCTCTGAAAATGACTGTTGGGGTAAAGGAGTGACATATTTATTTGAAAGGCAGAGTAACAAAAACTTCTACCTGGGTCTCCCACATGGGTGGCAGGGACCTCACGTACTTGAGCCATCTGGTTCCCAGGCTCATTAGTAGGGAGGTCGATCAGAAGCAGAATAACTGGGACATCAACTAGCATTTCTGCATGGGGTACAGGTGCCCCAACCGGTGCCTAACTTGCTGTGCCACAGTGTGTGCCTTGTGGAAGTTTTCTTTAACCAGGCTAGGAGAAAAGCTCATCTTCAAGGGGTACCTGCAAAGAGGTCTAAGAGGCCAGCCACTGTAGCTGCAGAGAAACACTGCCTGACACGCGCTCCAGCTGTACTGCCACAGTCCTACAGCATCTGCGTCAGTCCATGCCCGTGCCCCAGACACCTCAACAAATCTATTCAATGCAGAATCCACAAAACAGCTCACACCCCATTTATTATTTAAAAATAGTTTGTTACAAAAGGAAAAAAAATACAATGCAGTATAAAAGATTGACAGCGTCATCAAGTTTATTACACAATTTTCAACCTATCAGAAAGACAAACAAATCACCGACAACAGGGGGACGGGGGCCTTAGCCTTTGGGGGGGGGGGTAGGGGATGGTTTTTTTTCCCTTTTGCTATCAGGAAATAAAACTAAAAATTGTGTCATTGAGTAGAAACAAAACAAAAATGGGGAGAGAAAAGAAATTCTCCGGGTAAACAGCTTTTCTGGTATTCTATATTTTATTCCCCTTAAACTGTCACCTTACTTGGTTTTCTCTACATTTTAAAAAGACACCCGGAGTTGCTCTTGAGGATAAGCACATCACTTAACACTTGGCTGATTGGGTGGGGTGCCATGTTCTGAAGTGGAGGTAGGGATAGGGTTGGGGGACAGGGAGAAAAAAGCTACAACTCGTAGCCTCTGTCCCAAGGGAATGTGCCTCTCCAACCCTGGGGGACTCCCTCAGTGCCTGAGGGCTGTGTCAGAAACGTGCTGGGAACAGAGGAAGCGTTTAGTCCAATTCAGTCTCTCCCCTCTGAACCAGAAGGGTCTCCAGCGACCCTACGTCTCACATGCCAAGTCTCATCTCACGTGCCACGTCTCTTCACGTTAGCTGTCACTTGCCCCGCAGATGCATGCAGAAGTAGCATCACCCCAAGGGTACTGCAGGACCCTGCTGCTGCCTCCTCCTTCAGCAGTAACCACATCACAATTTGGATGTTATAGGAAAAGGAATTCCAGTTGCCTGTGTAGAAAATGGCCCCCAGAGTGCTGGTCCTTAGAACTTTGAGCTGAGTTCACTGGTCAGGCTCCATTTCCTCCTTATCAGAGGCAGGAAGTACCTCCAGGCAGAGCGAGGGGAGTTATTAAGTCAATAGTCAAAAGATGGAAAGACACCAATTTGTGACTTTACCTGCCTACTGTAAGTGCCAGGTTATCCCACAATAAGTAAAAGTATGTACCTGGGAAATGCAAGCCCATGCTTACATCAAACCTGAAAAAAGAAAAGCCTACGGAAGTAGACCATATTCTGCCCAACTTGCCTCTTTCCTCACCCCTCCTGGTAACTTTGCAAAGGGTCTTCATTACTGAGGTCCTGATAATCCCTATCTCCCAATGGCAGTGCCTTCCTCTAAAACAAGGAAGTAGCCTTCATGGGGAAAGGGCTCCACGTGTTAAATGGAAAAGCCCCTGGGAAAGGGAACACCTAATAGAGCTGGTTATTGCAACAGGCAACCAAGCACTAAGCAGCAGAGGGTGGTAATTGGCTCTGCCAGGCTTCCCAGCAGAAAGCGACCTCAGGGGCCACCCTTGCCTAGGAGGGGCAAGTCCACTGAGGCGGCTGGGCAGTAGGGAGTGGAAAGGGTTCAGCCCTCTGAGAAGTCAGGGAAAGAAACCGTCAATATGTGCAAGGGAAAGCAAGAACAGAAGTACCTTTTCCTAAGGTCACTTCTGTTCTCATGGTCCCTCCTCAAAGGGCTGAGAAGGTAAAGGAGTTAAACAAACAAGTGGTATGTTAGCAAGGGATGTGGACCCTCTTGGCCCCATCACATCTAGTGCGGAGGGAGAACCTGGGCATATCTTGGCACACCCAGTCACTCTCCTAGACCTCACATGGAGGATCCATTTTCCTTGGGAAAGAAGTCTTCCCATCAACCTCACCACTAAACTGCTCCTGGAGAATCAGAAACTCGTTCGTTTCCTTGGACAAAGCACCATTCTCTATGGAGACCAGGGGCCTGGACCAGGTGTTTTCTTCCTGTCTGCCACCCCTCCCAACCACATGAGTCTTTAGGTTCTTTCCCCCTGGCAAACAGAAGGTGTGGGGTTGGGAGGGCTGCCAAGCAATCTTCAATCCTGTAGGGCAGAGGGTATTCCCTGGGTGTCTGGAGGGAGTTAGGGGTTTGGAAGAAGGGAAAGGGGTGGAGCGGCCTCCGTCCTTTAGTCCTGATCAAGGTGAGGAGATGCAAGTCCATTAAAAAAACATTTGCTTCCAACCAGACTCCTGCAATGAAAACATCAGGAAAAAGAAAATACAAGTTAGAGGTTACTTTCTGATTGACAGGGACTTAGAGGAACACAACGGCATTTTCTACAGGTACAACATAAGAAGTAGGGGATATGGACAGAAAGAGAATGTAAGTAAGCCTGGGAAAGTAAAAGAAAGAAAGCAGAATTGTCTGACATTGTGCCAGTGGTGAGGGAATGGTTGGAGAAGCTACAGTGAATAGGGGGTGGGGGGAAAAGTGACATCTCACTTTAAGGTTAAGGGAAAAAACATAGACAACAAAATGAGGTCTCTGAAAGCAGTTTGACTGAAAAGGAGCTTTTGGCCAGAAAAGTATGGAAACGATACATTTCAAGAAGTTGCAAAGGAACATGGTGAGTTTAAATACTGTTTCAGAAAATCTATTCTGAGCAAGTCATTGCTTACCTTAAGGGGAAGGGGAATAAATCTGGAAATGGGAGGTACAATGGTAAGAAAACAGGTACGTACATAATGAAATCCATTAATCCCCAACACCCCAGAAGCCCTAGCAGGGAGCATGCGCTTCCATAGGAAACTCCAACATCTGTTTTCTCTTTTAAAGCCCTGGTTCAAACTGATTCTGAACAGTATCCTTAGGAGCATACAAACACACACAGCACCAGAGATTTTCCAACTCCTACTAAAACTCAAGAGACTTTAAGTCTTTCCCCAGATCACAGCCATGGGTAAGGAACCAAGAAGTGTACTAACACCAAGCAGGAATGACCTGGCCAGGTCAGAACAGAAAGCAGAGCATGACAGGAAAAGAAAACCACCAGTAGTCTCTCTATTAAAAAAAAAAAAAAAAAAAAAAAAAAGCCATAAAAGCACAGCTAACAACTTTCACCCAACAGCAAGGGTCTGGGCAAGCCACTTATCACATCCCCACTGAACCAAGGATCCTTACACACTCAGCTCTTACTCCAGTGCTGCAGTATCAACCTGCAGGTAGTGATGTCATCAGTCTGACCATATAAAACAGAATTAGTAACCAAGAGGAAAAAGTGAATTAAATTCAGGCTTAGAATTTCTAACATTCAAGCCAGTGCCACAGCTCAATAGGCTAATCCTCCACCTGTGGCGCCGGCACACCGGGTTCTAGACCCGGTCGGGGCACCAGATTCTGTCCCGGTTGCCCCTCTTCCAGTCCAGCTCTCTGCTGTGGCCCGGGAGTGCAGTGGAGGATGGCCCAAGTGCTTGGGCCCTGCACCTGCATGGGAGACCAGGAGAAGCACCTGGCTCCTGGCTTCGGATCAGCGTGGTGTGCTGGCTGCAGCGGCCATTGGGGGGGCGAACCAACGGCAAAAGGAAGACCTTTCTGTCTCTCTCTCTCTCATTGTCCACTCTGCCTGTCAAAAAAAAAAAAAAAAAGGAATTTCTAATATTCAGGCTGGTAACACAGCCACAAATGAGTGCTCGTCCTTTACATATGCACTTCGGCGAAGAGCCAGACCTGGTGGCGCTGCTCAACAAAGAGATCCACATGCTGCCACCTCATCTTCCTACACAAGGACACAGCGCTAGTTTTGGTTGGGGCCCCAGAAATCTACCTGGCCTCATCTTGGTTCCTCTCAACAACCGTATGTCCCTTTGCTGAAGGAGAAAACTCTACAGACCTCACTGCATTTTCAGTTTCACAAAACTGAACAGAAAGCTCAGTTTTCAAAGGCTCAAGAAGATAGGAACTAGAAGGGAGTAACCGCATTGCAGATAGGATGTCCTAATACTGTGACGTAACTGAGAACTACAAAAAGTCAATGCCACAGATTCCCTAAGTTTATACACATATCCTGGAAGGGATAGAAAGCTGTAACTTGTTAACTATTCCTACAAAGCAAGGTGCAGAGGTTAACTTGTGCATTAAAAGAAGCTACAGTACCCAATCCTTAAAGGTCTGTAGTCACTTTGGTGGTAATGTTTGCAAGCAGAGAACAATCAAAGATTGTTCTTTCAGTGGATCAATTAGCCTTCAGGCCCTAGCTAGGCCCTATCCAGAGAAAGGACGAACAAAGAAGGTTGCTGCTCTTGTTCGCTCTGGTCATGATCAAGGAACACATGTTCATAAAATATAAATGTAATTCTTCTCTGACTGAAAGGCTGCTGTTCCTACAGCTTGCAAAAGTAAGGCCTCTAAGTAAAGTAAACGAGGCCTGGGAACCATCACCTCCCCAACTCAAGCCTCTTAGGCCACAACATGGTAATTACAGATGGAATTCAGTGTCCTTGGATGAGACTGTGAGAAACTGACACTGTCTGGGAATCTGATTCAGTTCTTTTGGACTGATTTATTATTCAGATGGAATAGTCAAAATATCTAAGGGGAAACCAGGAGAAGCTGGGAAGTGCAAAATCTACCTCAGAGTTCATTTTCCTTACCTCATCATGGGCCTGCACCAAGTGACTATATTCTTGGCACAACCATTGAAAGGATTTCTCATCATTCAAATTCAATCAGGAGAAATCAGAGAAAATGACAGCTGCTGCTCAAGCTGGGAAGTGCAATTCCCAAGGTACTGAACTATCAGTGGATCTGACAATTTCCTTGTCAAGAGGCTGTCAGGACCAAAGCCACCTGGTCATTCTTAGCCCAGTGGGCTCCAAAGCATACACACTGTGGCTTGCATGACAGGTAGTGGTGGTTTTGGACTTACAAGTAACACTAGCAACTGTGTTAGGTCAGACAAGAAGAGGGAAATGCTGCTGCTACTACTAAGTAAGGGATCGGACTGAACTCTACCGGCTAAAATCCTTCCACACCCAGAGACTGAATTAGGCTAAAGTTATTTGTGGGCTCTATCTACATTGGAGCCTGCCTTTCCAGAAGTTGTAGGCACCAACCAAAACTCAATCAATTGCAAAATCTAGAACCCACTGATTCTATGTGTGTTACCGCAGATACCAGTGAAGTGATGGAAGTACTCTAGGATCTTGCTGAATAAATGAGTAGTTTAAGAACAGAAAAGGGAGACTCATAACATTTCATCTTCCCACTTATTCGCCTCCCATGGAAAAAGAATTCCAAACTATAAATCTGTTAATGGCAGATAATGCCAAACAACAAAGGGGGCAGTTACCAAACAGAAGAGGAATCTTTTGTTAGTAGGTTGTCTCTAGGCAAACTGCTGAAGACTTTTCTGTTTATAGTCCAGATATTGCTCATAAAGTCTAGGGACACACATGGTCAGGATTACTTTTCCCACTTCCCTTCTTCAGTCATCCATCTATCCCCAAAACATCAAAAAAAAAAAAAATGACTGTTCTCTCTCCTCATCCTCATTCTCAATTACCATTAGGACACCTTCATGACATACTTGATGTAGTACAGAAAAATGGGGAGTCCCACAGACTTACTAAGTTTGCAACTACAAAGGGAGACACTGATGTCATCTTCGTCATGCCAATAGCCTTCCAGAACCACAGATCTGTAGGTACTTCAAAATGTTCATGGGAAAATGAATTAGAAGATTATTTTGGTATATTTTTTCTCTTTTGAAATCTATGCATAGCTTTTTCATAATAGGTATTTTCCACAAACTTTTTGAAGACCTGTTGTAGGCTCTGCTAGCCAGAGTTTGGACTATTAAAAGATTTCAAACAGCAACTGCTCTTGCTTACTTACATACTACAGTCTTTTGCTAGCTTTCTTTCAGCTGGGACTGCTAACCTCATAGGCTATAACCCAGAGCTACCGGTCCCCACCCCCCAAAACACGGAGTCTGTTTGAGAATGGGAAAAAAAAAAAAAAAAAAGAGAGAGAGAGAGAGAGAGAGAGAAAAGTGAAGCTGAGCGATACAGAGCCACTAATTCCTGGTGCATAGCCAGAGCCCATGGATCCAGCCAATCCTAACTGATAAAACCTTCATTATCTGAGTTAACTGTCCTCCTGCCACCAATCCTCCTGCTTTTGTTCTGCTTAAAATTTTTTATCAATAAGCTGTTCTCATAAAACAAAAATATTCTTCCATTAAAGCTTATTATTCTCCAGTCTAGAAAGCTATTATATACATATATTTTTTCAGATCAGTTCTAACTAAAATTCCAATTTTCAGAATCTTTTTAATAGATATTAATGCCTAAAATCATTACTGCTGTGTTTTGAAAACTAAATGGTATCTTACTTTTCTCTCTTGGTCATTTTCCCAATTTTTTCAACCAAAAGTTTGGTGGAGTTAAAATAGTAACAGTGGGGTTAAAATAGTAACAATGGCTATTATTTATGGAGAACTTTAAGCACAATGACTACTAAATGCTTTATATGGATTATTTTGCCAAATAAGCAGTAAGTCAATGAGACACCTGCTTTTATTATCTTCATTTACAGACAAGGAAACTGGAGAAAAGTAGTACGGCTTGTTAGTGGAGGAGATGGCATTTAAACTCTGGCATCTGACTGTAGATGCTCTCAGCTATTACTCCCACCAGACACCAGGGTAAGGCAGTCAAAAAAAATTGCTAAAATACCTTAATCTCACAGTTAGACTCCCCATAAACAAACAGGAAATCTGTCCTGAACTTACGATACCTAAATCCAAGCCCTTCTGACTCCTACCGCCTTTATTTCCTTTTTTTTGAAAAAAGTGATCTTCAATATAAATAATCCTTCCATCATCAAAGATCACCCACCAGCCAGGAACGGAGCTTCTTCCCACCTTTCTCAGTGGTGCCGGTCCCGCTCTCTATCCCGGTGTCTCTCATGCTCCCGGTTCCTTTCTTGGAAGTAGTCGTCATGCCGATCTTCATTATGAAGCAGATCCCGGTGCCTCCTGCTGCTCTCCCGGGACCGGCTAGGCGACCTCTCCCTGGACCGATGTCTTTTCCTATCAGAAAGATCCTCAGCCTCACCCAGAAGGCCTACCAGAATCTTCCCAAGAGTGTGTTCTTTTGGTGTCTTCCTGTATTTATCTCGCTAGTCTCCTATTCTTCTATCATGGGTCCATTGTCTAAGAATGAGCTCAGCTCTCTGAGAACTGATCTCATTTGGGAAAATGGTAACAGTTAAATTTGTTAAGATCTTATTAATTAATGAATGTGGCACAATGCTAAGAATTTTACAGATATCATCTGACCTCATCTTTATACAAGGTCTGTAAGATAAACACTACTATTGTCTCTTTTGTAAAAAACACTCAGAAAGATGACTTAACTTCTATATTTAAGAAAGTCATACAGGTAGTCAGCAAAGCCAATGTTCTTAATTATACCAATCTGGTTTCCTTTTCCTAAATGAGTCCACTGCCTTACCCAACAGATTTCATGCATTGCAACAATAGTGAAAACTGATCAATTTCTTCCCCTTAAAGACACAAGGGCTAGGTCCATTCATTCAACTAGGTTCTTGCCAATACCCTGGGCTCTGTTCCTCCCCTCTACCAATCCCTGGAGAAGTGCTGCTCAGGGCTGGCAGCTGCTGAAGCAGTCAACTCACCTGGAAGAGCTCCCGCTGGCACCCACACTGTAGGACTTGGCCTCAATGCCATGAAGACAGTCCTTAAGAGAGGAGATGAGGACACGGCAACGCTCATCATTGGCGACCCGGGACTGTTTGATAACCGCAATGGCTGTGAGCAGCGTCTCAATCGCATCACTGTAATCCCCTGACAGGGGACGGGTGGGAAAGGCCAAGGATGAGCAGAGGCAGTAATAACTGGACTAAAGGAGAGCTCAGGAGGACAAAAACAAGAGTAACTAGCTGTCCCAAAGAACCACTAGAAAATGACAAGGCAGATACTGACAGGTATTAAAACTGGCTGGATGACACTTAAATCCCAGTGACACAGAATCTGACACATCAGATGCTGCTCGTGGAAATACAAACTAGTACTATCCAAAGATGATAGTTTTTGACCCAGTAATTCTACAAAAACTGTTACATTTCTGTTCATAAATGTGTGTAAGAATGTTTCACTGTTATCTGCGGTATTAATCTTCAATAGGCCTTACTATATAAATTCAGAAGCATTGGTTTTATGGAATAAATATTACATAGTTGTTAAAATCATGAGATAAATAAATAAATTCATAAGTAGACAAAGTAATTCATGTAAAGTGTTAAGCATAGTACCAGACACAAAGTAAGGGCTCAATAAATGTTAGATATTATATATTGATATAATAAGTTGCTAAAATACAGTTAATGGAAAAAAAAAGTTGCAAAATTATGTTTTGTTTTGTTTTGTTTTGTTTTTTTAATTTGACAGATAGAGTTAGACAGTGAGGAAGAGAGACAGAGAGAAAGGTCTTCCTTCCGTTGGTTCACCCCCCACATGGCCGCTACAGCCAGAACCACGCCGATCCGAAGCCAGGAGCCAGGTACTTCTTCCTGGTCTCCCTGGGGGTGCAGGCACCCAAGCACTTGGGCTATCACCCACTGCCTTCCCAGGCCACAGCAGAGAGCTGTATGTCCCATTTTTGTAAAATAATCGAAATTACATGTGTTGTCACATGCACAGAAAAAATTCCAGAAGAATATACAGTAAACTGTAAAAGGGAGTCTTACTGGTGGTCCTTATATAGAGGACTTTTACTTTTTAACATTGCATACTTTTATGAATTACTTCTATTCTATTCTATAATCACATGTATGCACATGTACATACACATTTTTAACAAGTTATGCTGCCATAAAAAACTAGCCCTTTCACTTCCCAAATCTGAGCAATGCCTGGCTTAAGGTCAGTGGCTACAGTTTGCATACTTGCACACTGCGCTTTCAAGCTAAGTCAAGAGCATGGAGAACAGAATACAAGGAAAGCATGAATCTAGACAGTGGTACAATGAAAAAGGACTGTAGCTGCTTCTGCAAAACAGCAATAGGTAAGAAACCCGGGAGGGCCTGTGAACCTAAGGAGGCCCACGAACAGCGGAATACCAACTCCACCCAGGCAGAGAATCTCTCCCTGGTTTCTAGGTACCTTCACTAAATATATGTGGTCTGAATGACCTGAAGGAGAACATCAAAAAGCAAGGGAGATACAATCAGTCACTGATCAACTCAGTATGAAGGTACCAACGGGGGGAAAAGGAACAATATGATAATTTTTGTTAAATTCCTCTGTATATTTCTAACTTGTTATAATGAATATGTATTACTTTTAAATTTAAAAACAATCATTCAGGCAGCACCATGGCTCACTAGGCTAATCCTCTGCCTGCAGTGCCAGCACCCGGGGTTCTGTGCCAGGTGCTCCTCTTCCAGTCCAGCTCTCTGCTGTGGCCCAGGAGTGCAGTGGAGGATGGCCCAAGTGCTTGGGCCCTGAACCCGCATGGGAGACCAGGAGGAAGCAACCTGGCTCCTGGCATCGGATCACTGACCATAGCGGCCATTTGGGGGGTGAACCAACATAAGGAAGACCTTTCTTTCTCTCCCTTTCTCTAACTCTGCCTGTCAAAAAAAAAAAAAAAAATTCAGATGTCAAGTTTTACAGCTAAAAATGAAAAATTACAGAAAATATATGTTAATATTTAGGGTAAATTTCTTTCTTATAAGATTGACAAGTTTACAGACATTCACATTCATCACATTCAATGTGAGAAATCCACTGGAAGGAAGTGAGCATGACTAAGTTAAACACAGACCAGAACCTGAAACTTCCTATAGCACCTTCTTTTCAGAAACAAAAAATTTCATACCTAGGGCTTTCATGTTCAAAGCTGTCTGTTCTGCCCATTTAAGCCTGAGAGCAGGACAAAAGTAAGGCTTCTGGAAGGGCAATATGACACCCAACAGGCTTGCCTACTTCTAATAAAGGCTATATGGAGGTCACCAAGTCTGCCTCGACTCCCAAATATAATGAGATTCTGTATCAAACCACCATTTGGTTGGGCCGGCGCCGCGGCTCACTAGGCTAATCCTCCGCCTAGCGGCGCCGGCACACCGGGTTCTAGTCCCGGTCGGGGCGCCGGATTCTGTCCCAGTTGCCCCTCTTCCAGGCCAGCTCTCTGCTGTGGCCAGGGAGTGCAGTGGAGGATGGCCCAGGTGCTTGGGCCCTGCACCCCATGGGAGACCAGGAAAAGCACCTGGCTCCTGGCTCCTACCATCGGATCAGCGCGGTGCGCCGGCCGCAGCGCGCCGGCCGCGGCGGCCATTGGAGGGTGAACCAACGGCAAAGGAAGACCTTTCTCTCTGTCTCTCTCTCTCACTGTCCACTCTGCCTGTCAAAAAAAAAAAAAAAAAAAAAAAAAAAAAAAACCCCACCATTTGGTTAAGACGTAATTCCTACGAACTTCAGGACTATACCTGACACTGGATCCACTAAACAGACACTAGATCTTTGGACCAATCATTGAGATCAATATGTCCATGAGGCAGGAATTTCACTCTCCAACAAATACCACAATCAGGTGATACAGTCTAGGTATAAGTTGGTTCTGATGGAGGCAGGTCTAGGAACAAGCTAAGTAACACCAGTGCTTTCTAAAGCCAAAAAATCAGGTTACATGTTGATTGTCAAAGCATGCCACACTTGATAACAGTGTTCCTACTGGTTCTTGTTGAACTTTTACCAATGGAAACAACAAAACAAAGGAAAACTAAAGGTAATGGGCAAGCAGCAAAGGCAAGGGTGAATTACCTGCACTGGCTCCAGCTACTGCTTTGGAAATGGCACTGCTGGAAATTGCTCTGTTTCGCTTCATGATCTCTTCAAATTCAGCTTCACTCACTGTAGAGGGCGGAGGGCCCGAATCTCGGCTGCAGAGATAAGACCACTCCTGACTGCCCACACCCCTTACTGTTTTTACCATATACCACAGTATTGTTATTTAATTATGCCCTAGTGTATAATGTCTTCAATAGTTCTGGACATGTTCATGTGTCTTATGTGTTCATATTCTCTTCAAGGACAGGATTTCTATCATATGCTTTTGTGATTTTGCATGACCCAACAGCGCTAGACATTCACAGCTGCCACTCAAGGCACTCAATTTAATCAAGCTCCTTAAAAGGAGGTCTGAAAGGACATGGTTTGGGTAAAGTGGTAAAGATGCAAACAAACCACCAGTACCACACACACACACACACACACACACACACAAAAAAAAAAGGCCACTAACAAATGTGTAGTGCACTATTTCCCAAGACTCAACACTATGACAACAGATTACACAAGGGAAAACACAAGGATTCAGTGTTCACTTCTTCAGAGAGAACAAAATGTTTAACACTCTGCACCCTCCTATACCTGCTTAGATCTAAAAGGCACAAGATGGTCCTTACCTGCCATGGTGGTTATAGGGTGTAGAGGCCTTCATGTAAGTATCTGGTGGAGGCCCCACTGTAGCATTTGGTGGGGGGAAGAAGGCTGGATTGAGGTGAAGGGCAGGTGGGATGGCCCCAGGGGGAGGTACTGCCAGATGAGGAGGTAATCGAGGAGGGGGAGGCATGAGATGCTGGTAGTGGATGCCAGGAGGAGGGGGAGGAACCCCAAAGCTTGAGGAGAGAGGTGGTGGGGGTGGAATTGGGGGTGGGGGCAGACCCATCAAGGGAAGGGCTGAAGGAGGGCGATTGAAGTAGGGCAGCACGCTGGGGGGCTTATCCACACGAGCGGATGAGGGTACAAGGTTCTCAGAGGGTGTGGCCCGTCCATCTGCAGAATCACTAGACTCTCGGGAGTGGGCACGTGGAGGTATTCCTGCAAAGTACAACAGAGCCAATGTTATTGCCCATGGTTCAGACATCTCAGCAAGTCATGAGACACCACACCGAGGAAGCAGCTGAAAAAGAAGGTAACATCATCCATCACCTTTTCTTTGGCTGTGGAAAAAGAGATCAAAAGCATCTCAGTTAAGACATACACCCAGGAAGTAATACCACCCTAAATCAGGTATGCCAAAGGATGCTTGTTTTTTATCCAGAACTGAGCGATTCGGAACACATTTAATTCACCCTTAGATTTGTTTCCTATTTTTAAATGCAGAAGGATCCTAATGCCCTAGGAGAAAACAAGTTCATTGATGATCAACTGAATTCCTGTTGACTTGAAATCCCACATCCCTGAAAGCGTTCAAGCCTCTCTCCTTAGACCAGTATTAACTAGTTCACATTCTCCATCTAGTTGCACATTTGTAATGTTCTCTCTGCCACAGTGCTGTAGTTAGGAAGGAAAAAAGGGAAAGGCAGGGAATTGGTAGCACTTTATCCACATACCCAAAGTGTGATTCCAGTGGGAAAGAGATTCACATGAAGAGTGGTAGATTGGAGGTTAAGTGAGAGGTAAAGATAAAACAGAAGATAAGCCAAGAAATGATCAGCCCACAGAATGAGCAGATGGCATCCAGATGACAGCAGGGACTCTCTAACAAAAGCTTGGTATAAAACATGGCTCAAATCTAGAGAAATGCTACTTCATTTCAACCCCTCAGGGTAGCCTGCCAGGAACATAGTAGGCTAGTGTACAACATAGGCTCAGAACACGCTGGGATATAGCTGGAAGCATGGCTTCTGACACTGTCAAGTCACTGGGTTAAGGTATGCTCTACTTTCCCTCCACATTTGCTGCCAACAGCATCTCTGTCCCACCAGATTCCCACGACCATGCAGTCATGTTCTGCTCTATTAATCAGGATTACCCTGGTAAATTAGAGAGAGGGAACAAATTTTCATTAAACTCAACAGTCAATCCTAACTTCTGAGTAAAGCCTATGGTAAAATCAGCTACACTTCCAACCACTTTACTCTCTTTACTACAGTATACTGAGCGCTATCACAGCACTGTTGGGTTCTTTAACCTCTCACACACATGGCAACTTCCTCCTTCCTAGATTCTCATAAACTGAAGGAAGATTTAAAGCAAGTGTGTTCCTGACAGTTAATCTCTTCCCAGCTACTGTTCTCACATCTGCAAGAAATGTCCCCAGAAAAGCAACCATTTTTAAGCAGGAATCCACAAGCAATCATTTTCTTTTCAGCAAGAAAGGTAACACCAAGAAGTAAATAGCTGAGTAGAAAGGTGAAAATACGGCCTGCGCCTGGCTCACTGGACTAATCCTCCGCCTGTGGCGCCGGCACCCCGGGTTCTAGTCCTGGTCGGGGCACCGGATTCTGTCCCGGTTGCTCCTCTTCTAATCCAGCTCTCTGCTGTGGCCCGGGAGTGCAGTGGAGGATGGCCCAGTTCCTTGGGCCCTGCACCCGCATGGGAGACCAGGAGGAAGCTCCTGGCTCCTGGCTTCGGATCGGCACAGTGCACCGGCCGTAGTGCGCCAGCCATGGAGGCCACTTGGGGGGTGAACCAACGGAAAAAGGAAGATCTTTCTTTAATTAATAAACATAGTTCAAACATATAGATTGGTGAAAATGTTATCTCAGTGTAGTTATGAAATGATGCATCTTAGCAAAGTCAGGAAATGGTTGAATCAGAAAGACTCTGAAACAGAAGGAACTTGAAAATGCAAGTTTTCAAGGAAAAAAAGTGTGTGCCTTAACTTAATACAGAACAATGTGAGCCCACACAATAGTCACCTAGGCTCACAATCTAGTTGAAAGAACAGTTGTTCCTATGCAAGAGAGAAATGGCCATATTTCCACCTGAGGATACATCCATTTTGCTCTATTTTGAGAGCTGGACTTAGGCCGTGACAGGATATAGGTAATGGACCTCTGCCATCCCCATCTTTGCAGTTGGCTGTCTGAGGCAGGGCTCTGCAGGGTGGTAGCACCTTGTGGTCAGGACAATCTAATGTCTGGTTCTCAGTCTTCCACAGGTTTGGAAAGTCAATTTTACAGTTCACCAATGAATGATTAGGTCTTAGGAGGTTGACTCATGCTAACCAAACTCAAAAGAGACTGATTCATAAACCAGAATGCTGATTTATTAATTTACAATGAGAATTATAACTGCCAAGCAGACTGGAATTCTTCTGTCCGCTGGTCAGTGCACTCTTCCCAGCAAGAATGCCTAGTTGGGAAACCAAATTAGAGTAAGAAGGTGGCATACGGGAATAAGACAAATTTAAGGGACACTATCATCAAGCTAAGGTAGTTATGCTGCCTTTTAAAAAAAAAAATATTTTATCTATCCCTTCGAAAGGTAGAGTTACAAACAAAGAGACGGAGAGAGAGAAGGTCCTCCATCCGTTGGTCCACTCCCCAAATGGCTACAACAACCAGAGCTGAGCCAATCCAAAGCCAGGAGCAGAAGTTCTTCTGGGTCTCCCATGCAGGTGCAGGGACCCAAATACTTGGGCCACCCTCCACTGTTCTCCCAGGCCATAGCAGAGAGCCAGATCGGAAGAGGAACAGCCAGGACACGAACTGGCAGCCACCCAGGACACCTGCACCATAGGCAGAGGCCCAGTCCACTACTTCACAGCACTGGCCCTGCAACTTCCTTTACTAATGAAATACATTAGTATCTGCCAAGCAGATTAAAATATGGTTATTGAAAAAGAGTGCCCTGCTCCCTGGACAATGCTGGAGAAACAACATTCAATTTTCCAGCACTCCCGCTTGATTCCTTACAGAGCACCCTCCCATTGTATGTTTATAACAGGATCACAGTCCTCTTGATATATCAACATTTTTGGGGTGGCTGATTCTTGGCAATTTTATTAGAAAGAGGCATATATTACAATAAAGTTCACTTACTGTATATAAACGTTTAGATAAAAACACAAAATTTAGGGTTGACAGGAATTTGAAACACCACATTATTAGTTCAGAGGGGAAAACTGGCCCTGCTAAGCAATAAACTGATTCCTCAAGGTCACACAATAAGTTAGTGGAAGAACCAAACTAACCTGAACCTATCTGACTCCCAGCATAGTGCTGTCTTTTACATACACCTCACTTTTTTTGGGCTACCTATTGACCATGCCACTACCCACAGTCACCATCAAGATCCCCCAAACTCCTCCACATTGTAGGCTGAGTCCACATCACAGAAAACAAACCCACAAAATTCCCCCCCTTCATACAGATGGTCTCCACGTACCCCCTCTTGGGACTCGGACGCACTCACGTTTCCGAGCCTGTGCCTCAAACTGTGATAGGTTCTGCCGGGTGGCCGGCCTCACATCCACTTTTTCTCCATTAAGAACTTTTCCTGGAAGAAGTTCCAACAATTTGTGGACAGAGTTTTCAGAGGCTACCACCACCTCAGCATACCTTGAGGAAGAGAAATTAACAATGAGTGAAATCTACTAGGCAACTGAGAGAAAAACAAAGAAATTCTCTTCCACTTTGAGTAAAATATGGTAAAGCATTCTCACTAAATTAAATACACACATACACCTATGAACAACAAAAAGGTGTCAGCCAAAAATCTTCCTATCTTTTGGAATTAAAAATAAGCCATTTGTTGCTCCTCAACAAACAGACACCCCAGTACATGGTAGCTAGGCAGGTGCTCATTTTAAGGCAGGTCGCAAAACCAAGGCAGGAAGCTGGGCCAGGGGTGGGAGGGATTAAAATTTCAGGGCCAAAACACAGTGCAGATCTGTTATTCCAATGGTGACAAACTAAAAGGGGCTTTGCAAATCCAGACCTCACCCTTTGGACTGGCCATTTGCTCGATTCTCTGCAAATTTCAACTCCACCACATCATAGACTCCTATAGAGCGAATAACCTGGATCAGCTGCTGGTCTGTGGTCCACTGGGGCCGGCAAGATGAAAAAGGAAGAAATGTCAAGAGCTACATGCCCCCTGCCCCCATAGTGTCCCAAACCCTACCCCCAAACCTAGGATTCTGGCCACAACCATGACCTCCCAGAGGAATCCCAAAGTCCAGCAGTATTTCAATGAGTGTAGGCTTTTTTTTATTGTCCTCACCCATACAGAATTCCAAAATGACGACCCCTCCCAACCTCCACCTTTAAAGATTAAGAAGATTAAAACCTTTCTTAACTTTGACTGTCAATTGGTCTGGCTGGTCATCAGTCCAAACACTGATTGTTAACAACTTTGAATTAAGATCTGACAGGCTAGGGCTTACCACTGCCAGAACTTTTACCTCAGTATATACATTTCATAACTTGGAAAAACCACCCTTAACACCAGCGCCAAAGTATGTCACACAGTAACTTTTTCAGAATGACAGTCACCTCCTACCCCAAGTGTACAACAGCTATCAAAGTCTTTTTTTGATCCCCATAACCCACTATAATACATGACCACCAAGAGTTCAAGGTGTTCACTAAATCTCATCCCACATATGACCCTGCTAGACATAAAGCCCTAGGGTCAGGGGCAGTAACAAGATGGCAGAAAAGGCAACTACCCACTTAATCATTGCTTTCTTCAGCACCAGTACGTCCTCAGGACAGTTCTCTTTCAGAGATCAATCCAACCTGATCCCAGGAAAAAGAAATCCAACCCCATCAGAGCACAAAACAGTGCAACAGTGGTTTCTGAAAATGCCATTACCTCCCAGTGCTCTCCCTCCAGCCCACCCATAAACCTTTTTGGTTACCCATGCTCACCCAGGAAAAGCTGCCCACATAGACTGCAGCTCGTCTGTTCCGCAGGCCACTGTAGGTATACAGAATTGCAGGAGTCTTGTTGTTGGGCTTGGGAGAAGGCTCCTGGCGAACAGGAGGCGGTGGCTCAGTGCTGCTACTTCTGTCATCTGAGGGTTGTGAGGTGGCTGTCAGCACATCATCATACAGGTCAATCTGATCTGTGTTGTTGAACTCTGGGTCCTAAGAGAGGGGTCAGCAAAGGCAGTTTGCAAACCTTTCCTTCTGTTCATTCTATTTCACTCTAACTCACTTAGAATCTTGTCAAATACTTTGTCCCTACCTCTGCTCCTAATATCAGCTTCCTGCTAATGCAGACCATGGGAAGAGGCAGGTGATGGATCAAATCGCTGAGTTCCTGCCATCCATGTAGGAGACAGGGACTGAGTTCTTGTCTCCCAGCCTCAGCCTGGTTCAGCCCTGGCTGTTTCAAGTATTTGGGGAGTAAACTAATGGATGGGAGCTCTCTCTCTCTCTCTGCCTCTAAAATAAATAAAATTTTAAAAATTTTGTTTTTCAAAAGGCACATGGTGAATAAATAAGCAAACTAAGAACACACTACATATATCTGCTATTATTATCAATGATGTCAGTTTCCAAAAACTACATCTGTGATACATCAATGAAAAGTTATTTTCAACATCTTATACTATTTCTAAGTTTTTTTTTTTTTTTTTTGACAGGCAGAGTGGACAGTGAGAGAGAGAGACAGAGAGAAAGGTCTTCCTTTGCCGTTGGTTTACCCTCCAATGGCCGCCGCGGCCGGCACGCTGCGGCGGGGCCCACCGGGTGTAACCCGAAGGGCAGGAGCAGGGAGCAAGGTCCTTTTCCTGGTCCTCCCATGGGGTGCAGGGCCCAAGCACCTGGGCCATCCTCCACTGCACTCCCTGGCCACAGCAGAGAGCTGGCCTGGAAGAGGGGCAACCGGGACAGAATCCGGCGCCCTGACCGGGACTAGAACCCGGTGTGCCGGCGCCGCTAGGCAGAGGATTAGCCTAGTGAGCCGCGGCGCTGGCCTAAAATAAGTTTTATATAAAACTGACAATAAGTATTTTAACAGGAAATAGAGTAAATTTATATAAAGCAAGGGAAAAACATGCTAAAATTGGTACCAAAGAACAAAAAAGACTGGGACTTATTCAATTAAACCCTTCAATTTATTCAAGTGATTTTAGGGAAGTTCTCAAGTCCACAGTACAACACCTCATTTTTCTAATAACCATCGATGAAACATTAAAAGAACAAAAAGGAAGAGAACAACTTCAGTGGGTTTTCTTAAGTTCTATTTCTCTCATTTCAATATTATTATTTGAGAGTGAAACAGAGACAGCACTCCTATCTGCTCACTTCCCAAATTCTCGCAATAGCCAGGGCTGAGACTAGGCCAGGCTGACACCAGGAGTTAGGAATTCAACCCAGTTTCCCACAGGAATGGCAGGGACCCAACCACTTGAGCCATCATTGCTGCCCTAAAGGTCTGTATTAGCATGAAACTAGAATCGAGAGTGAGAATTGAGACTAGAACCCAGGCATTCCAACATGGGATATGAGTGTTCTAACCACTAGGCCAAACACATGCTCCCCTAAGTTCTATTTCTCAAGTGATATGCAGACCCAATAGATTATGATAACACTTATATAGGAGACATTTCTGAGCTATACCAAAGATGTCTAATAACACAAAAAACACTTTAAGTTACCTAAAGTGTAAGGTTCAGAAAATAAGAACCTCTAGCAGGGGTGGGCATCTGGTCTAGTAAAGACGCTGCCTGTGATGCTGGCATCCCCCTTGCCTGGGTTCCGTTCTTTGCTCTGCTCCTGATTCCAGCTTTCTGCTACTGTGCACCCAGGGAGCAGCAGGTGATGGCTCTATTACTTGGGTACCTGCCACCCATAAAGGAGACCTGGACTGAATTCTGGGTTCCTAGATTCAGCCTGGCCCAGCCCCAGGGTTGTGGAAATCCAGGGAGTAACTAATAGATGGAAAATCTCTTTCAAATAAAAAAATAAGAACAATATATCACATAATAAGTTAAGCCAAAGTAAGCATTTACAATATGAATGGCATTCTGGAGGAAAAAAAGATGCACACTTGGGGCTGGTGCTGTGCAACAGCAGGCTACGCCTCTGCCTGCTGCACCAGCATCCCGTATGGGCGCCAGTTCATGTCCCGGCTGCTCCTCTTCCAATCCAGCTTTCTGCTATGGCCCGAGAAAGCAGCAGAAGACAGCCCAAGTGTTTGGGCCCCTACACCCACGTAGGAGATCTGGAAGAAGCTCCTGGCTCCTGATCAGCTCAGCTCCAGCCACTGCGGCCATCTGGGGGATGAACCAGCAGATGGAAGACCTTTCTCTCTGACTCTCCCTCTCTCTGTAACTCTACCTCTTAAATAAATAAATATAATTTACACTTTATCTATGTTATACAAATAGACATGTATTATTATATACCAAAACTTCTCAAACCACAAGATAACATTTCCAAACATTCACACATTGCTAACGATGATGCTGCCAAAATGATAGACAATAAGAAGTTCAATGTGTTTTAGAGAAACTAACTCATCCACATTGCTGTTACCTTTTTAAAAAGCAAAGAAAGAGTGCACTTAAGTTAAGAAACAATTTCTCTAACATAGGACAGGCAGCTCTAGTAACTTTCTCCTTCCAGTATCATCACAAGAACTCCTGATGCTGAATTGAGACTAGAGCAAAAATCCATGACCAAACATACACATACAACTTTTTCTTAAAAAGTTTTCTAAAAAAAAAAAAAAGAAAGAAAAAAGAAAAAGGACTTGTTTACTTGAGAGGCAGAGGGCAGAGTTACAGAGAGAAAACAGGGAGAGACAGGTGACAGGTCTTCCATCCACTGGTTACTTCCCAAATGGCTCAACAGGTGGAGCTGAGCCAGGCCAAAGCCAGGAACTAGGACCTTCTTCCAGGTCTCCCACACAGAGGCAGGGACCCAAGACTTGAGCCATCCTGCTTTCCCAAGCCATTAACAGGAGATGGATTGGAAGTGGAGCAGCTGGGATTCAATCTGGCACCCATATTGGATGCTGGTGCCTCAGGTGGATGCTTAACCTACTACATCAGAGAGCCAGTCCATACACAGAACTTTTGTAATCCTCAAACCATCACAAACTTTGGAAATAATCTTTTACTTTTTCAGTTTACCTGAATTATAGTGGAAGAAGACAGTAAGACAATGATCTTGAATTGTTCTGACAGTGAAAAGGAAAGATTCTACTTCCTGAAACATGTAAATAAACTACAATATTACAAATAGTGTAAGAAACCCCACAGAAGAAAGGCTGAAACCTCATACAAGTATGACAGAGGGAATGGCAACAGAGCAAAAGTTCCAGAAAAGCACAACACTGATCTGCATAGCCAAGCCTATACAAAAGAATCTGTAAAAACAGGGTCCAGGGGCCGGTACTATGGCATAGTGGGTTAAGCTGCTGCCTGTGAGGCCGGCATCCCAGGAGTGCCCACTGGGGTCTCCAATGCTTCACTTCGATCCAGCTCGCTGCTAATGCACCCGAGAAGACAGCATGGCCCAAGTCCTGGGGCCCCTGTACCCGCATGGGAGACCTGCAGAAGCTCCTGGCTCCTAACTTGGGACTGGCCCAGAGTGAATGGATCGATGGCCACCACCCCTCTCTGTAACTCTGCCTTTCGAATAAAATAAATCTTTAAAAAACAAAACAAAAAACTAAGGACACAGAAGTACAAGGAGAGAAGGGAACAGTAGAGCATGAGGGTAGATAACAACTTGAGAAAAGTGAGGTCAGCTGGGGCTACTGACATTTGATGTATAAGAAACCTTCGTATTTCACCACCTTTCTACTTCCAAACCACTCTAAATCTAAACAAATCACTTATCTACTCACAAAACAGGTAGGGTGATTTGCCCTTGTGGTTCAAAGTAAAGTCACTTGATCCTATCTGATGTTCTAATCCTTAGATCACATGAGTAAGCCCTTGGTATCTGCAGGTCCTGCATGGATACAACTATGGATGAAAAATATTTGGGGGAGGAGCAGGCATCATGGCGTGGCAAGCTGTAGGGTCCCCTGAAACACCTGCATTCCTTAGTGGCAGTACGAGTCCTGGCTGCTCCGCTTCAGATCCAGCTTCCTGCTAATACACCTAGAAAACACTGGATAATGCCTCATGTTTGATTTTCTGAAACCCACATGGCTTCTGGCTTCTGCCTGGCCCAGCTTCAGCTGCTGTTGACATCTGAGGCTTGAACCAGTAAACAGAAGCGCTCTCTCTCTCTCTCCTTTCAGGCACAGCAGTTGTCATTTGGAACACCTGCATTTCATATGGAACTAGGTTCAAGTCCTGATTAGATTCCTGATTCTGGCTATCTGCTGACTTGTGCCCTGGGAGGCAACAAGTGATGGTTCAAGTACTTGGGTCACTGCTACCTACATGGGAGACCTGTATTAAGTCTCAGTTCCTGGTATTTGGGGAATGAAATCAGTGGGTGGGATGTCTATATTGCTCTGCTTCTCAAATAAAACAAGTTTAAGGAATTTTAAAGTATAAGTTTATTTAAAAAAATTTAAAAAGATAAAAAAATCATAACAATTATTTACATTCCACTACACAATTTCACATAAGGGATCTGAAGATCCACAGGGAAGGGGCGGCCCAGAATCAATCTTCTGAAGACACCAAGGGACAATTATACATCACACCAAGGTTATTCCCTTACCCAAATCAAGAATTTTCAAATGAAATTTAAAGAGAATAAGGATATATATCAGCTTGGATACTCAATGGAGCCAAACTGGGATTTCTTTCATGCAGCAGCTGTGACTCAAAGATGTTTCTAAGTGGTAATATAAAAATGATCACTGAAAATTATAGAATGAAGTAACACCCCAATATGGACTGCTCAGAGACCAAATGTCATCACCAGGAAATACTTCGTACTATAAGCTTATGCAACCAATATACTCTTTCAAGTAGAAAGATCAGCCCAGCTCTGGACATTGCGGACATTTGGGGAGTGAACCAGTAGATGGAAGACCTCCCTCTGCGCCTCGACCTTTCTGTAACTCTGCCTTTCAAATAAATAAATCTTAAAGACCTGTTTAGAAACGAAAGGATTCAATGAACACAAAACTGTCACAAGATTCAAGACCTCTCTTGGCCTCTGAGCCTCAGGTCAGAGAAGTTGGTGGGAACTGTTTAGGGCAGGCCCCTTAAGGGTTCTACTGAAGAAACAAGGTATCAAGCTGTGTTTGTATTTGAATATGCTAGCATCACCAATGCATTTTATTTGTTCAGCTGTAAGGGTATGAGGTTTTTCCAATTACCAAAGTTGATGATTTATGCAGTGAATTAGGTTAAGAGTTTAAGTGAAAAAAAAAAAAAAGGCACTAACTTTGAAAGCTTCATTCCAGATTAAAGAGACTATACATACTTAATACTAAATAAGTATCTCAGGGCGAATTATGCTCAAAGGCATGGACAGAACTGTGATGTCTCAAGTGCTTAGTAAACAAAAGGGAACTTTAATATAGGATTTTCTCCACTTGTATGCTCAATGTCCCTATATATTTTTTTAAAGATTTATTTATTTATTTGAAAGTCAGAGTTACACACAGAGAGAGGCAGAGAGAGAGAGAGAGATCTTCCATCCGATGGTTCACTCCCCAGATGGCTGCAATGGCTGGAGCTGCGCCCATCCAAAGCCAGGAGCCCGGAGCTTCTTCCCAGTCTCCCACGTGGGTGCAGGGGCCCAAGGACTTGGGCCATCCTCTACTGCTTTCCCAGGGCATAGCAGAGAGCTGGATCGGAAGTGGAGCAGCTGAGTCTTGAACCGGCACCCATATGGGATGCCGGTGCTTCAGGCCAGGGTGTTAACCCGCTTGTGCCACAGCGCAGGCCCCTGGGCCCCTTAATGTCCCTATATTTTAACTCCGGTCTTTCTGGGGGAAGTAACTACCCTATTTTTTCTCAGCAACCAACTTGATACCATTGTTTCTTTTAATTGTAACCATGACTCAAGTGTTTGGTCTTATGACAATTCTCAGGGCTCTCATCTCACATCCTCCTTGTACCTATTACTCTCCATTGTCACTGTTCATTCTCACCCACCAGGACCGGAACCTGTTTGGAGTACTGTTTTGGGTACAGGGATTCAATTTTTTTCTCTTTACCTCATTAGTCCTGACACATGCTCAGTAAACAGAAGAAACTCAATAAATACTTGCTGATTCAAGTAAGAGAAGCACTTATATACTGTGGGTACCACAGTAAGAGAACCACTTACTACTGTGCAATGTCTGCCTCAGCACAAGGAAGAGGCCAAAACACAAGGAGTGGCAGGGCTGTTACCTTCCAGCCCAAGAGGGCAACTGGGAGGCTTTTGCAGTACATTGTTTTTAAACATTAAGGGAACAAGCACCACTAGGGTCTTACCATAAACTGTATAAAGCTGGGGACCAAGGTACATGGTCCAGCTTGGGGCAAATCAGTAACATGCTTGAAACATTCTAAAACACGATTTGTAATGGATATCTTCCAACCAAGCCAGTGTCTAACACCCTAGCCAGACAAGGGTTTTTGCCATTTTGTAGCAGTTTCCAGATTTCACTAAAACCAGCTTTGCCAAAAATTAACTCATGTATGGGGGGAGGGGGGAAGAGTGCCCGTTCCTTTACTTTCCACAAGACATAAGGCATTCAAAATCTACATTTTCTTCAACTTGCCCAGTATCAAAAATTCTACGTCATTTGTATAAATGTCTATTAGAATCTAAATACTCCTTTTGGCCTCTCAGATCATTTTTTTTTTTAAAGTTCTTTTTAAATTAAAGAGAACAAATTGCTAAGATCAATGTCAACCCTAACAGAGCAGTGAATACTGGACAGTATTCACCTATGAGTAATATCGTTTAAAAACTTAAAATCTTACTTCCTCAGACCAAATGTGGCTCGTGATCAAGGACCCTGTTCTGCCTATTTCCCAAAGTCAATCAGTACCACTGTTATCAGTCCATAGATAAGGAATTACACACAGAGAGAAAAGTTTCATTAAAGACAGAAAAGAACTAGAGGGCTTTATTTTCCTGTTATCTTGTAAAGAAAAACAAAAGAACCCACAGGGCCAGCGCTGTGGTGCAGCAGGTTCACAGCCTGTCCTAAAGCACCGGCATCCCACATGGGCACCGGTTCAAGACCTGGCTGCTCCACTTCCAATCCAGCTCTCTGTTACGGCCTGGGAAAGCAGAAGATGGCCCAAGTCCTTGGGCCCCTGCAACCGCATGGGAGAACTGGAAGAAGCTCCTGGCTTCAGATCAAATAGGCGCAACTCCAGCCATTGCAGCCAACTGGGGAGTGAACCATCAGATCATCAGATGGAAGCCCTCTCTCTCTCTCTGTGTAACTCTTTCAAATAAATCTCTAAAAAAAAAAAAGAAAAAGAAAAAAAAAAAGGAAAAAAACAAAACCCATACAAAGAATTGGTAAAAGTCTGAGTTAAAGGACATCGAAAACTCAGGAAAGCAATGGTCTTGTAACTAAATGAACATTCTAAACTCTTCTCTTTGATCCATAATTATTTGACTTGTCCAAACTTAGAAAAACATCATGTATTTAAGTAGTCATATGTAGATGATGCCAGTTTAACAAGGACGTAGGAAAACAGCTATTAAAAATATACAACATTCTGAGCCGGCGCCGTGGCTCAATAGGCTAATCCTCCACCTAGCGGCGCCGGCACACCGGGTTCTAGTCCCGGTTGGGGCGCCGGATTCTGTCCCGGTTGCCCCTCTTCCAGGCCAGCTCTCTGCTATGGCCAGGGAGTGCAGTGGAGGATGGCCCAGGTGCTTGGGCCCTGCACCCCATGGGAGACCAGGAAAAGCACCTGGCTCCTGGCTCCTGCCATCGGATCAGCGCGGTGCGCCGGCTGCAGCGGCGGCCATTGGAGGGTGATCCAACGGCAAAGGAAGACCTTTCTCTCTCTGTCTCTCTCTCTCACTGTCCATTCTGCTTGTCAAAAAAAAAAAAAAAAAAAAAAGAAAATATACAACATTCTCTGGTGAAATAAAAACATAAAGAGACAATCACTTCCAACTTAGGATATGTGAATGGGTCTACATCTGCTTTTTAGCTACTTTGCCCAATGTTCTTTACCCTTTCCTCCCGAGAACAATACACAAAATTTATTACATTAAAATGTCGATGTACTTCTCAAGACCGGAGTCAAGCTACTTATAAAAGACTCAACTCAAAAGCAATTGCAATGGAGCAAAACTGAACGTTAAAGTATCTCAAGTGCAGTGCCTTCGTACCTTCATGCTGGAGAGGACACTTCTCCAGCTAGTCTGCCAGACCAAACAGCTATCAACATTGTTCTCACCAACCCGCAGCAAACATAATTCCGATTTTTAAGTGTGCTAAGTCTTTGAGGAGACTGCCACCCAACTTTTGCTTCCTTGGGGAGCAAGTTCCACAGGTTGATTCACCATTCTATTACAGTTGATTTTTATATGCTCTTAAATCAAACCCTTCAAAATTAAGCCTGAAGGTTCAAATTAACATTAAGCAGAATACTCAGTAACCTTTAAAGTCTCCGCTAGGGGGAAAATTTCGGACTCCAGAGTTGTGTTCAAGACTCGGACTGGCACAGCTTGGCACTGGCACATCGTGAAACCAGTGCGAGTTACTGGAGATGATTCCTCGGCCGATCGAGGAAAAGCCCAAAGCTCCCAAGGACCACCCCCACCCTCTCACCTGGTTGAACTCCTCATCAGCGTATATATCAATCAAGTCCACTCCTTCTGACATGGCTCCGAAGGAAGCTCTCGAGCCCGGAGAATGGACAAAGTAAGAAAGACGCCACTGTGGTAGTCAGAAGAGGGCAACAATTAGAAGGCACGAGGGGCCCGGCCCGAGAGCAGGGCGATGGTTGCCCACATCCCGTCTCCAGAGACGCAGCATCCCGGCCGCCCGAGCCCGGCCCCACCCGCCCCGCCCCGCCCCCGGCCTCGCGCCGCCCCCCCCGCTCTCCCAGGCCGCCCGGGCTCGCGGGGCGCGCTGCCCATCACCCTCGGGCCCGGCGCGGGGGGCGCCGCGTCGGCGCCGCAGCTGCCGGTGGCGCGACAGGCTAGTCCAGGCCTCGGCTCCCAAGGGCCTTCGGGCAGGGCTGCGAAGAACACGGCGGCGATGCCCGCAGGCCCAGCCTGCCCGCACCTGCCCAGGCCCCGAGGCGACCCCGGCCTCAGCGCCTTTGGGTCCCAGAGCTCCATCCGCCTCCGCCTCTCATCCCGGCCCAATCCTCGCCCCCGGCTAGGCCTGTCCCACTCCCTCCCCACAGACCCGGCCCGGCGCGCTTGGCCCCTCCCTCAAGGACCCGCACCTCCCTCCGCTCGCTGACTCCGGCCGCCCTAAGCTCAACCGACCCCCTCCCCGCCTCAGCGTCGGTCCCGGCCCTTCTTCCGGCCCAGCCGGCCCCCGGCCGCGCGCCCCCGTTACCGGGAATATGGCGGCAGCGGCGGCAGGTCCGGACTAGGCCCGAAGCGCGCGAACCGCTCTCCGCCCCAGGTCCCGCCCCCCCGCCGGCGGCGTCACACGCAGCGCCACTTCCGCCAGACGCAAGGACGCATCTTCCGGCTCAAGTATTCTGCGGCGGCTGAGCTTCGCTAGTCCAGACGTCAGGAGTTCCCGGAAGTAGTCCAGAGGGGACTTCCGGTGCGGGTTGGGAAAAATGGCGGTGGTCCCTGCGTTCCCGGCTTTGGCGCGGGTGAGGAACGCGGAGGTTCCAGGGGCTGGGGCCGGGGCCGGGGGCCAGCAGTATCAGGGACTAAGTTTCGTTTTCTGGGGTCATGGAGACAAGCGGGAGCGTTCAGCTGTCCTGTAGCCCAGGGCAAAGGGAGGCCAAGGAGAGGCCTATCCTGCTGCTGAAGAAATTCAGATCGCTTCCCTGCTTTGGTGAGCCTGCTGTGTGCTCACCTGGTAGTATCTGGCTGAAAAGTCAGTCCGCGAGGGCACCCGTTTCTGTCCTCCTCTGTCCTCTGAGCGCCCTCTCTGCCTGTTTCTTAAGTCCTTTTAAATGCCTACCCTGATTTCACAGTCTCCTCTTTATATTGCTTTTTGATGTAGGCATTTACCACCATAAACTTCACTCTTAGAACTGCTTTTGTTACATCTCATAATTTCTTGTATGTTGGATTTTAGTGTTTGTTTTAAGACGTCTTCTGAGTTCCCTTTTGATTCCATCTTTGGCCCGTTGATTTTTCAAGGAATGTGTTAATACTACGTATTTGTGAATTTTCATTTTTCTTTCTGCTTTTGATTTCGAGTTTTATTCCATTGAGGTTAGAAAAGATCATCTGGTGTGCTTCATTAAGCCTTCTTAAATTTGCTGAGACTTGTTTTGTGATGAAATATGGGATCTATCCTGGAGAATGAACGTATTCTTGAGAGGAATGTGTGTTTTGCTTGTGTTGGGTAGGATGAAGGGTATATATCTGTTAGGTCTTTTGCTCTGTAGTATTGTTAAGTCTTCTATTTCCTTATTGACCTGCTGTTTGGATGTTCTGGCCATTTTTAAAATTACTATATTGCTCTCTGTTTCTTCCTTCAGTTCTGTTTGCTTGTGTATTTGGATGCTCTGATGTGGTTGGGTGCATCTGGTTATAGTTAGACCTTTCTGGACAATTGATTTAGAACATTATATTTGTTTAATGTCTTTTGTGTCATGTGACAATTTTGACTTAAATCTGTTTCGTCTGATGTAAGTATGGTCATCCCTGCTGTGTGGAATTTCATTTCTATTCTTTCAGCCTATGTGTGTCCTTAAATCTCTCTTTTTTTAAAAGATTTATTTTATTTATTTGAAAGAGTTAGAGAGAGAGGTAGAGACAGAGAGAGAGGTCTTCCATCCACTGGTTCACTCTCCAGATGGCTGCAACGGCCAGAGCTGTGCTGATCCGAAGCCAGGAGCCAGGAGCTTCTTCTGGGTCTCCCATGTGGGTGCAGGGGCCCAAGGACTTGGGCCATCCTCTACTGCTATCCCAGGCCATAGCAGAGAGCTGGATCAGAAGAAGAGCAGCCGGGACTAGAACCGGTGCCCACATGGGATGCTGGCACTTCAGGCCAGGGCTTTCACCCACTGTGCCACAGCGGCAGCTCCTGTCTTTAAATCTAAAATGAATCTCTTAGAGACTATGTATCATTTTTTTGTTTTGTTTTTCATTCAGCTACCCTTGTCTTTTGATTGGGAATTTATCCATTTGTATTTAAAGCAATTACTGTCAGGGAAAAAGTTACTCTTTCTATTTGTTCCTTGTTTTCTGTCTTATCACTTTTTTGTCTATCCCTTTTTCATCAGTTGTGTTCCATTGTTTTGTGGTGTCATGTTTTGATTTGTTTTTCTTTTTTTTTTTTTTTTTAAAGATTTATTTTCTTTATTGGAAAGACACAGTTACAGAGAGAGGTAGAGACAGAGAGAGAGAGAGGTCTTCCATCTGCTGATTCACTCCCCGGATGGCCACAGTGGCCAGGCTGGGTCAGGCTGAAGCCAGTAGTGTGGAATTCCATCCAGGTCTCCCATGTGGGTGGCAGGGTCCCAAGTGCTCAGGCCATCATCTGCTTTCCAAGGTGTATTAGCAGGTAGTTGAACTGGACGCAGAGTAGCCAGGACTTGAACTGGCACTCACAGTGTGTCAGCGTCATATGTGGTGGCTTAACACCACCATACCACAACACTGGCCTCCAGCATTGACTTCTTAACAACTGGGATGGAAGATATTTAGCACCTAGTAAACACTGAGTAAATGTCAACAGTGGTATTTGTTCTCTATAGATGTTTGTGTCTTTTTTATTTCAGGTGCTTGTACTGTCAAGGCACAACCTGTTGTCTCCTTTGCTCAGTGTCGCATCATCCAGACGCTTCTACAGAGGGAACAGCCCAACAGATTCCCAAAAAGACCTGATTGAGATCCCTTTGCCTCCGTGGCAGGAGAGAACTGATGAATCCATAGAAACCAAAAGAGCCCGCCTGCTATATGAGAGCAGAAAGAGGGGAATGTTGGAAAACTGCATCCTCCTCAGGTAGGGAAAGAGGAATCTGGGTGTCACTTCTCTTTGACCAGTGGCAGCCTGTTCAGCCTTTTTCTTTCTCGTTTTTAGCCTCTTTGCCAAAGAACATCTGCACCACATGACAGAGAAGCAGCTGAACCTCTATGATCGCCTGATTAACGAGCCTAGTAATGACTGGGATATTTACTACTGGGCCACAGGTACTGGGAATAGCAGCATAATATGAAAATAGAGTGACTGAGGCTGACTTGAGTCTGGAATTTTATTCTAGGCAATGGTTTTCTTTTAATTATGCAGTGGACACTCAACCCGGACACTATCTCAATCTTCCCAAAGTGTGCAAAATTTGTGTTTTAATTGAAGTTCCTTGCAAGACAGAATACAAATTATTGTAACTTGAGCAAAAGGGGGATTTCGTGCAACAGCACGTGAAGCTTCACGGCATCACAGGGAAGGTTGAGGAACCAGGCTGGGAGTTGTGTGGACCCACACAGCTCTGTACGTGCACCGCAGTGGCAGCCCCTTTGACCTACGAGCACTGCCTTTACGAGGAATGGAATCTGTATTTCAGGTTAGTTTTGGCTGTGAGTAAAAGATGGAAGACAGTCATGGATTAAGCAATATAAACTTCTTTCTTACAACAGAAATCGAGAGGTAGGCTCTCCAGAGCTCATGGAGGGGCTTCAACAAGTCGTGAGATCCCGAGTGGATATTTATCCTAGCAATTGAGATGCCACGTGCCACATTGGAGTACCTGAGTTCAATTCCTACCTCTGACTTCCGACTCTAGCTTCCTTCCAGTGCAGACCATGGGAGGCAGTGGTGGCTGCTCAGGTCACTGGGTTCCTGCCATCCACATGGGAGACCTGGATTGTGTTCCTAGCTCCCAGCTTGGCCCCAGCTCAGCCCTGGCCATTGCATGCATTTAGGGAGTGAACCAACAGATAGGAGCACTCTGCTTCTCTCTCTTCCTCTGTTTCTCTGCTTCTCAAATACCTAAAGAAATACATAAAGAGGTCCAAATTCTTCCTGACTTGCTGCTCCGACACCCTCAGCATGTGTGGTCTGCACTGTGGTCCAAGAATCTCTGTCGTGTCTGTGTTTCAGCTGGGAGAACAGCAAGCAGAAGCAAATATCCCTTTTGTGGATCCTTCTCAGGAAATTACACATTATCCTCCACTGATTTTCCTTCAGCCAACCTAGTTACATGACTTCTTCTAGCCATAAGGAGGAGACAATATAATCTGTTCTATGTGCCTAGCTAAATTGGGAATTCTGTTATCAAAAAAGTGATGGAAGGAGCAGGGAGAATGGATATTAGGGGACTTCTAATCCATTTCTGCCACACTTTGGGTCTCCTGTTTTCATTTCTCAATGTTTGTATCAGAAAATAGATGCCCTTCTATATGTTCAATTGTAAGAGTACTAATACAAAGTCTAGAGACTTAGACAACCAGTGAAAGCTCAGAGAGTCTAAAATATTCACTGTGTGATCTTTGGCCCTGAATTAGCAAAGTGTATGCTGCTACTTGAATCAAAAGTTCATTTAATAGGCCGGCGCCGTGGCTCAATAGGCTAATCCTCCGCCTTGCGGCGCTGGCACACCGGGTTCTAGTCCCGGTCGGGGTGCCGGATTCTGTCTCGGTTGCCCCTCTTCCAGGCCAGCTCTCTGCTATGGCCCGGGAGTGCAGTGGAGGATGGCCCAACTCCTTGGGCCCTGCACCCCATGGGAGACCAGGATAAGTACCTGGCTCCTGCCTTTGGATCAGTGCAATGCGCCGGCCGCAGCACACCGTCCACGGCGGCCATTGGAGGGTGAACCAACGGCAAAAGGAAGACCTTTCTGTCTCTCTCTGTCCACTCTGCCTGTCCAAAAAAAAAAAAAAAAAAAAAAAATTTCATTTATTGTGTTGAGTAATTTCACATGTGGGTATACCACAGTTTGTTTATCCATTGCCAGGCCGGCGCCGCGGCTCACTAGGCTAAACCTCCACTTTGCGGTGCCGGCACACCAGGTTCTAGTCCCAGTCGGGGTGCCGGATTCTGTCCCGGTTGCCCCTCTTCCAGGCCAGCTCTCTGCTGTGGTCCAGGAGGGCACTGGAGGATGGCCCAGGTGCTTGGGCCCTGCACCCCATGGGAGACCAGGAGAAGCACCTGGCTCCTGCCTTTGGATCAGCGCGGTGCGCCGGCTGCGGCGGCCATTGGAGGGTGAACCAACGGCAAAGGAAGACTTTCTCTCTCTCTCTCTCTCTCACTGTCCACTCGTTCACTCTGTCTGTCCAAAAAAAAAAAAAAAAAAAAAGAGCCTTCACTGTTTATCCATTGCCCAGTTGAGGGACTTGAGGGTTTTTTCCAGTTTTAGGTGATTATACTGCTGTAAACATTTTTAAGATTTACTTATTTATTTGACAGGCAAAATTATAGACAGACAGAGAAAGGTCTTCCATCTGCTGGTTCATTCCCCAAATAGCCACAACGGCCAGAGCTGAGCTGAGTTTCTTCCAGGTCTCCCACATGGGTGCAGGGGCCCGAGCACTTGGGCCATCTTCGACTGCTTTCCCAGTCCATAGCGGAGAGCTGGATCGGAAGAGGAGCAGCCGGAACTAGATCCAGAGGTTCTCTGCTGCCAGTGGCAGAGGCTTAGCCCACTATGCCACAGTGCCGGCCCCTGTTGTAAGCATTTTTTGCAGATTTTGTGAGCATAGGTTTTAGTGTAGTGTTGCTTGGGTAAATACCCAAGAGAATGATAGCTGAGTCATGTGGTAAGTGGATGTCTCACTTTATAACAATCTTTTTTTTAAGATTTATTTATTTATTTGAAAGAGAGAGAGATCTTCGATCCGCTGGTTCACTCCCCAGTTGGCCGCAATGACTGGAACTGTGCCGATCCGAAGCCAGGAGCCAGGAGCTTCCCCCGGGTCTCCCACACGGGTGCAGGGGCCGAAGGACTTGGGCCATCCTGTACTGCTTTCCCAGGACATAGCACAGAGCTGGATCGGAAGTGGAGCAGCCGGGACTCGAACCAGCGCCCATATGGGATGCTGGCACTGTAGACGGCAGCTTTACCTGCTATACCACAGCGCCAGACCCAGCAGTCATTTCTGTAGTGAGCCAAAGAGTCAGTATTTAGCTTCAAGGAGTCCATGTGGTCTCTGTTGTAACTTCTCAACTCTGCCTTTGTAGCATGAAAGCAGGATAGATAATAAACAAATAAGTGTGTCTGTGTTCTAACAACAACAAAAAATTTTGAAGATTTTATTTATTTATTAGAGGTCTCCATTCACTGATTTATTCTCCCTGATGCCTACCTCAGCTGGGGATGGGTCAGGCCAAAGTCAGAAGCCTGGAACTCCACCCAGGTCTCCCAGGTGGGTGGCAGAGATGGAGATACTTGAGCCGTCATTTGCTGCCTTCCCAGGCACATTATCAGGAAGCGGTATTGGGAATGAAGTAGCTGGTACCCAAAGGACTTCTTGGGATGTGGGCATCCCAAGTGGCGACTCAATCTGCCGTACCAGAAGTTAGCCTCCAACAAATTATGGACACTGAATTTCATGTAATTTTATTTGTCATGGAATATTCTTAATTTCCTTCCTTTCCCATTTAAAATTCATTCTAAAGATTTATTTATTTATTTGAAAGGCAGAGTTACAAAGAGACAAGGCAGAAAGAGAAAGAGAAAGGTCTTCCATCCACTGGTTCGCTCCCCAGATGGCCACAATGACCGGAGCTGGACTGATCTGAAGTCAGGAGCCAGGAGCTTCCTCTGGGTCTCCCTCGTGGATACAGGGGCCCAAGCACTTGTGCCATCCTCCACTGCTTTCCCAGGCCACAGCAGAGAGCTGGATGGGAAGTGGAGCAGCCAGGACTTGAACCAGCATCCATATGGGATGCCAGCACTTCATATGGTGGTGGCCTTACCTGCTAAGCCACAACACTGGCCCCTTAAAACTCATTCTAAAGGGCAAGTGTTTGGCCTAGCAGTTATTATGCTGGGTATGATTCCTGCATCTCATATTGGAGTAACTGAGTTCAGTATCTGCTCCACTCCTGATTGCATCATCCTGCTAATGTAGACGCTGGGAGGCAGTGTTGATGACTCAAGTGATTGGGTTCCTGCCAATTATTTGAGAGACCTAGATTAAGATCCTGACTTCTGGCTTTGGCTTTGTTCTAATCCTGGCCGCTGGTGACATTTAGGGTATGAACTTCAAGATGGAAGAGCTTCATCTCTCTCTCTCTTCAAAGTTTTATTTTTTTTGTTTGAGAGGCAGAGTTACAGAGGGAGAGTCAGAGAAAGAGATGTCTTCCATCTGCTGGTTCAGTCCCCAAATGGCTGCAACAGCCTGAGCTGGACTAATGCGAAGCCAGGAGCTTCTTCCGGGTCTCCCATGTGGGTGCAGGGGCCCAAGCATCTGGACCATCTTCTGCTTTCCCAGGCCATCAGCAAGGAGCTGGATTGGAAGTGGAGCAGCTGGGACTCAAACCAGTATCCATATGGGATGCTTGTACTGCTGGCAGATGCTTAACCTACTACACCACAGCACTGGTTCCTCTCATTCTCTCTTTCCATCACTGTGGCTCTCTAATTGTTTAATTAGTTAATGGGGGGAAAAGGTAAAAATCATTCTTAGGTCTCAGGCTATATAAAAGTAGCAGGAACAGGCATTTGGCACAGTAACAACAAAGTCCCCTGTTGGGATGCCTGTATCCCATATCAGAGTGCCTGGTTCAAGTCCCAACTACTCCACTTCTGTGTGCTAATACACATTTTTTGTGCTGCTAATACACATCTCTGAGACAGCAGATGATGGCTCAAGTAATTAGGTCCCTGCTATCCAAATTGAGACCAAGAAGGAATTCTGGGCTCCAGGCTTTAGTCTGACCCAGCCCTGGCTGATGCAGGCATTTGTGGACTGAGCCAGTGGACAGACGTTCTCTCTGTGCCTGTGTCTCTCTGCCTTTCAAATAAAATGAAAAATAAATTAAAAAATTTTAAAATCCTTTAAAAAATGAAAAATGGGCAGTAGGCCATAGTTTGCTGTTTTCTGTGTTGCTCTGGAACGGGCAGCACTAGGAACAGAAAACAGATGAGTGGTCGCCAGGGAGGAGGTGTGAAGGGAAAGGTTGAAGTTCCCCCAGCATTCATTAGTCTCAGGATTTCATTTCTGTTTTTAGCCATTCTAAGAAGTACCATTAA